GTGGGCCGAGAAGGAGGCAACCCCTTCACCCAACATACAGAGCAGTACCACCATTACTGTTCACAAGACTTTCAGTATATGCTGTATGTCTCCAAGTCAGAACTGGACTCTGCATATACTTCAAACAAATAGTGTTCTTGAATTACCTCCACATGATTTATCTCCAAAACAATACAGTACATAGTGTATATAGTGCTGTTGTCACATGAAAACTCTCTGACTCAACTTTGATGTGTTTAATTTTCTGTTTAATTTAAAGCCAAATTCCTGCTCAGACACTTACACTAGTTTATTTTATCAAACTGTGATTTTCAGTGCATTGTGGGAGTTGTCATGAACTGTTGTTGTTAGCTTTTCTGATTAAACCACATTCCCTAAACCTGTCTCCACTGCTTCCCCTCCAGATAGTGATGCCCTAGGGTGGATTTCAAAAGTATCAGTAAACAGCAACAGAGCTTAATCACAACAAACATTTTGACTTTTCCTGGTTTAACTAATTAAATCAATGCTGGGTTTGTTCCATTTAGGTATCACAGTAAGCCATTTGAGAGAGTCAGCATGCACAACAACCTGGGTCATGAACCTGACACACATGAAAGGAATGCAGCTACAATTAATGACTTCAATTACACCTGTGCTTTACCTGCAATGACATGTCAAAATGTCTGCTATGAAAACGACCTATGGAGTTTTTCCCTGGCAAAATGCATAACATGCTCTGGCTTCTGCTCTGCTGATTGACTTTTGTATGTAGAACAACACATTTGTCTACCAGTATATGTTTACATGATACTGCTAAATGATAAATCTAAACAGAAGTTTTAATTCTCTAGTGTAAGCTCCTCTGAATGTTATATCAGTTGTAGCTGTTCTGAATTTAAAAATATGTATTAAAAAGATTCTCACTTACCTCAAGTGTTATCTAGCCATCCAGACAGGTTTTAGATATCTGTCTCTGAGTTTGCTGCCTCTGTTCCAACTCAGTGGAGGTTAAATATAATTTCATTTGTGATGCTCACAACAATAAATAAATAAATAAATACACATATATATATATATATATATGTGTGTGTGTGTGAATGTGTGCTGTGTGTGTCGTGTGTGTGTGTGTGTGTATGTATTTTGTACATATATATATATATATAAATATATATATATAGACACAAACAAATCTTTAACACAGAACTGACTGAATCACTATTGTCAGTGTGCAGAATCTTGCAAGCTAAACTGTTAGCTAGCATCGTCTTAGTTTACTACTAATCTAAATGTAACAGTTTAATCAGACAACAGACTGAACAGGCTACTGAAATGAAGACAGTCAGAATCTGTTCACTCACTCATCTAAGTAGTGTAATTACTGTGATTGTTTATCTTAGGAAAAAAAGTGAATGAACTCAATGAAATTATATGAATCAGCAAAATGATTCGGAATTTCCACCCAAGTGTGGTTCCAGACCTCTAATCTGCCGCCCACGTCATTTTTTTTTCAGCTATTCAAATTCATCAGACATTGTGCTCCCTGATGGCAGTTTCCCTGGTTGGAAAACCCACCAAGCTAATCAAAGCTTTGTATGCTGGACGAAGAATGGGGCCATCCAGTGCTTCCTGTGCCAGAGGCAGAAATATGGTGACAGAAAAAATGCTGCAAAAATGGAGTCAAACGTGGATGAGACTGACGACGGAACACAGGTTTTTGTAAATCAATTTACAGAAAAAAACTGTTCAATAATTGCGAAATATGTTAAGTTAACCGCTCCTTGCAACCGCTCCAACAGCTCCCGTGGCCACTAAAATTGCCATTGAAGATACTCGCAGCTGAAAAATAACAATCTCTCTCAAGCAGATAACAGCTAAAAGAAAAAAACATTAGACTTTATTTCGAACTGAAAATGAAATCGATAGGGGATAATCCACTGTACTGTGAAAAGTTATTATTGGAATGTCTTTGTAAGAAATAGTTGCTATGAAAACAAGTTCACAATGTGGACAGACCACAATGAATTCTTCTAGTGTAATTTTTCAATGCTGTGACATGCACAGCACCATTGTATCAGGATGGAGGCAGAAAAGGAAGAGCTTAATGCCTAAATACCTTTACAAACTCTTCAGATCTAACCCAAAGAAGTCTAAGGCTCGTTTAGGGGTTGGGAAAGTTCTGCTACTCATAAGCCCCATGAAGCTCTCGTAAAACCTTTCGGCTAAACTCAAAACTGCTGGGTGGTCAAGTTAAAAACAAGGTTGTTTGGTTTCACTTTTGAAAAGTTTACTTTTTCCAGACACGATATTCTGGTCCAAAACAGATGAATTTTACAAAAAAACATTTCCTAAAAGCCTTACGAAATTTCACTGAAAGGATAAGGCTGGTGTCATTTGATATTTTTCTTATTCTCAAAAAATCCCATACCAAAATACATTTTGTTAGTCATTTACCTTCTGACTACTCTGCCACTGTCTGTAGCACTCAGCCCCAAATCCATTGGTTCCTACTGAAGACTTCTTTTTTTAAAAAAAAAAAATGGGTCACATAGTTATAGTTTTGTATTTAAAAAGGCTCAGTGGTTTATTTAAACAGATGGGCATTATAATTTTAGCAGAAGTTTCTCAAAATGGAGTTAGTAGGTCATTTGTTTGGGACTATTTTCAGCTGCGGATTGATGCACATTTGGGCTCTAGTTAGTATTTCCGGCAACATATGAGGGATTGGCTCAAAATAAACTACAGTTACCATTTTCATTGCCCTTTAGCAACATGTCCCCCAGTGCAACGATGTGGCTGACTTATGTGTTGGACAACAATGGAGACCTATAGTACAGAGGTATAAGATGTATCGGGCTTTGGCTAGAAAGATCAGTTCATTGCTGATTGTGGTCTTTGTTTAATTTAATTTTTTTTAATAATTTGGCACAGTGATGTCCCCCATTGGCTTCTGATTGTCCCTGCCCGCCAGGGGGATCAAACTGTCTGGTCACAGGCCGTGTTATAAAAGCTTATGGTTCATTTAGTGTAATCTGATCGTCCACATATCCTCCTGCTGCTGTAATCCTCATATTTCCCCACAGGGTTCGGCTTTTTTTCCTTATTAACAGTATCTTGCAAGATTAGTTTTATTATTGTGTATTCATTTATTCTAAATACAATCTGAGTAGAGTTTATCTGTCACCCAAAGGTCAATAGTTTGGGAAAAATGATACACATCCATACCTCTGAAATTATGTTTATTCAGCAGTCAATATAGAATGTTAGATAAAACATTTTTTGGCACAGTTGCTTAATGATAATAAGCTGTCCCATTTCTGTGTGGTACTCTAAATAAATATGCAAAACCATAATTTACTTCCCAAATAAATACAATATAAGCTACAATAAAGATGCACCGCATCCGCATATGCGCCCCGCACTGCACCTCCTCGGAAAAACAAAAACAAAACAAAACATAATTTATTGTACTTCAGGCAAACAGTTGCAATGGGTTCAAAACCAAAACAGATGCTTGATAATTCATTTCAACAGCTTATTTTCCCCCTAAAAGTCTACCAGGCAATACAACAAGGAGGCATTTGATGGGCCAATAGAAGGCTGTACTGTGGGCAAGTTACAGGATTTTATATATGGGTGCAAACACGTTCCCAGATCATGTCGCTACTTCATAGTTAGTTTTCCTGCAGCGAGAAAAAACAAAACAAAACAAAACAAAAAAAAACATGTCACTACTGATCATTAAAACCATTCTTCTCTTTCACACTTGAGCCTCTGATTGGCTAAAAACTCTGTGTAAACGTTTGCAGATTACATCCAGAGACGACATTAAAGAGGTTGTATCACCTGGAACTTGAGACGTGAGATGTTTATGAATCTAAGTTTGTGAATTCATCATGTGTGTTGAATTAACTTTGTTTTGGCAATTCTTTGAGAAAAATAATTCCAGAGGATTATGGGTAGTTGCAACACAGGGTTATTTGGGAAAAGTATTTAAAAAAAAAGACTTAAAATGACAATTTCTTTGAGAATGATGAGCTAGTCTATGGAGAGCAAATTGGAGAAATTGTTCATACTGATCTATTGCTAAAGTGAGAGTGTACTTATGTGTTTTAAAACTGGTCCTCATTGTTAATCTACACAACATCAATATACAAAACACTTATTAAACGTGGGTATCAAACCTGGAGCTATAGAAAAGGATTTTCTTTCGTTAAATTCTTATCAATACCTTACCTGTGTAATAACACTGCAATCAGTAACAGTAATGCAAACAAACAGGTCACAATGTCATGTCTTGTGTTAACAACAATTCAACACACTTTTAAGTCAATATACTCTCTGGAGACATCTTATCACAAGACGTTATAATTAGGTCAACGGTCCAAACTGTCCTGCACAGAACTTAAAGTAAACATTGGTGCATTAAATTAATTTTTTTTGTTTGTTTGTTTGTTTTCTTTATGGCTTTGAACTGACTTTTGAGCACTTTTTTTTTGCCTGACGGGTGATTTACTATCGCCACTATAATCATGTAAACTAGGAGATTTGGACTTATTTACTGTCCATGAATATGAAGTGTAGTAACAGCAATAATCTAGTCCACCATGGCTCATTGTCAACATGAGTCGTATGTGTACTACTACTCAAATGTAATATCACAAACATAATGTTGCTACATTGTTGTTACACCACAGTTTACAGTGTTACTACACAGATAGAAAAGATAATAAAAATTTTTTGTCATCAACAGTCATTTTCTGTATTTTTAGATGGAATCCACAGAAACACAGCACGTGCTGTCCATGTGATTCGTTCCCAAGCTGTGGTGACAGTGAGAAGTCTGTCTGTCAAAGATGGCCACCGTGGAGCAGTCTTATATTACATATTCCCATCCTTTCCTCCTCTCCTTGAGATTATATTCCATAGTTTCCTGTGATTGTCTTTTAACAGCATCCTGTTCGACTCTTCCAACAGAGGCTGAGAGCAGCATGACAAAATAATAAGTCCATTTCTCTGGGTCATACACACCCACAATTCTTCGCAGACACATTCTGTATCGTGTGATAGCGGCTCTTATTGTCCAAGAAGGAAAAGTCGTTTTCAAATGCGGTTGGCCGGCAGCAGGGCCCGTTACTGACCTTGTCCTTGCGGCCCTTCTTCTTGAAGCCCGTCCGCATCATGTGCTCCATGGTGATGTCGTAGTTATGCCGGTGGGCCGTGCATTTGCCACTGCAGTAGCGCAGCAGCACTGTCTCGTCGCTCTCGTAGCCGAGACCCAGCTCACTCACGGTCAACTCCAGCTCCCTTAGAGAGCAGGGCTTTTGCCTCCTGGCTCTTTTAGTCCTTCGGGCCTGGTTCTTACCCAGGCGTCGGCTCTTCCTTCTCTTCCTGTCTAGCAAGGTCCCGACCACATGTTGAAGCTCGCCCTCTGTGAAGCTCTGGAACATCATGGAAACTGACGGAGACAAGATGAATCAAAATTAATAGACAGGTGACAAAGAGATTATCTGATTTCTGTGCAATGTGAATAGCAGGGCAGATATGTAAACATGGCTGATGGTTCCCAGAGATAGAATCCCATCTGTGATGAATGCCTCACAGTGCAGCCATGGGAAACGGGGCAGTCAGTGAACTATGAGGTTTTAATTGACTGCAGGCTATTGTGAGATAACAACACAGTCAGGTACTAAGTGTTCTGTCTGAACCCCAGCAACCCTTTCACATGACACCTAATCTCAGACCAGACAAGGAAGGAAGAAAATAACAGTAGATCTTACACTCTGAGAGGAGAGAGTTCATGTCGTCTGCTGAGCGGACTCTCCGATGAAGACCACCCATCTGCCGCGACATCGCCGCCGACTCCGCTAGGGATGGTGGTGAGGTTCTGGATGTTGATTCTGATGATGAAGACGGACTTGATGAGGATGAAGGTGTGTATGGATATTTTGTCTTAGGTTTGAACTGTCCAATAGTGGCCATGTTTCTAACGAGGACGATGGACAGGGCTGCACCACAGAGCATGAAGGCAAAAGTAGCACCTTTCCATAACTTCATCTTAGAACGTGGAGGAGCATTGAAACTCTGTCGAGAGAGGCAAAACGTCAGGCAGCGTTCAAACAGTCACACATGAAAACCTGTCACATTAAAGCACAGAGAACAATGTCATAATTGGCATCTCCTCGCCATCACATTTCAGTGACCTTCCCGTAAATCCACTTCTCTCAACCTTAGCCTGACAGGGCTTTTATTTTACCGTCAGTTTACTTTCTCTGATTCTGCTGTCAGCTCATTTTCACTCTTAAGTGGGTTCATGATCTGTGAGCTCGACATCACTTGCTGACACCTGAGAATGCAGTGTGTGTTTAAAGTTATATCGAGGCAGCCTGAGGGTGAAAGAAAAAAAACATTGCTGCAAAATATTTTATTTAAACTGGAGGGAGCTGACTGAGTTGTGCAAGTACCTTACTCATAAAACCTCTAAAAGGTTTTGTGTATTATCTCAAAAATGTAAACTTCTTTTCTTGATTTCTTAAGAAAAAAACACTTCTTTGTGCAGAAATCGTGTCCCTGCAATATCCTTTTAAGGGGGGGTGGGGGGTTGCTTTACGGGAATCTCTTTGCCACACCTATTTCCAAAGCAATGTATGATGAGGCCTCAGTGAGTGTGTGCTTGTACACCCCTTCATCTTATACAGCCCCTCCCTTTCAATAGACAATACAAGACACCAGCCACAAAACTCAATTTGGAGGATTTATTCCTTTACATTTTCTCTTCCCTTATTGTCATTCCACAGGTATCTGAGAAGTTTTACAAGCTCACTTCTTTGTATTTTTCATATCATGTCACCAGTGAGCAAAACATTTCCCCAGAGCTGGAAATGGTATACTGGCAGCAACTAACAGCAATTCCAGACCAGCGTTACAAATTGTTTTGCCAGACTGGATTCTGTAGTGTACATATACAGACTGCTGGATTGTTTACAGTGGGACAAAGTGTCACATATCTTTGTCCAGTAGTTTTTTTAGAACCAAAAATCTGAAATGGATCATTTCTGGAGGTTTGCTCCTGCAGATCACATTCAACATAAACATTTGTGAAAAATAGTAAAAGAAGTAGGAACATTTTGGTTTCTTGTGGAATTTAACTTTTGGCCGTGGAGTAAGTGAAACAAAAAAAAAAAAAAAAAAAAAAACTATATGCAAATTCAGACAGTGCTTCACTACGTCTGTTTTGGACACCGCAGAGGGAAAATACAGAGACGCTGAACACATGAGCTGCAGTGGTGTAAACAGCGTATAAACAGGTACAACCAGTCCTATCAGTCAAAGCTTGACTCATCACTCATAATTCCATATGGGTTTGACGTGGTAAGCAGCCTCTGCACAATGGTGGGGTAGAATAGTATTCATTTGAAAGTCAAACATTTCAGCTAACAATCAGACACAGTCTATGTAAATCAAACGTGGAGCCTGCAGAGTGTCACTCCGTGCCTGCCTATACGTCGTTGTATTTACAGGCAGGCGTGATAGATAGAAGCCTCAATGGAAAGTTTCATTTTGTTTCTGTTGGTTCAACACCAACTCCTCACACCAGGAATCTCACTGCTGCTGCTTCTAAATGTGATAAATCGCCAATTCAAAAAGAGACGATTTGTTATGATATATGGCAAAGGATGAGATCATTGTTTTCTTATGCTATTAATAGGTCAGTTTTGGGGCAATTACTCATCCTGGGAGTTAATTGTTTCACACAGACGCGATCCATCAATGTCCTCAGTCTGTTAGCTCTGTGGCTCATCGTGATAAAACAATTAGCTCGTAAAAAACAGATGAGTCCTCCGATGTCTCAGTTGCTGACACTGGACGAAGACTGGTCATCAAACACTGATCTCACGTCCCAGAAGACACTTTGATTGTCATAATTGCTCCACTCAGAAACACATTAGTTCTATCTGCAGTCGATTGGCGCCAATAAAAGTGCCAAGGAGCATTCTGCAGCTTGTTCAGATGGTCACGGGTGATTAATCAGCACAGACATTTAATATCTACCACTGGCCCCTGCTGTCATGGACATAAATATACAGACACTGATAGGAGAAAGGAGCACGAGTGTTTTCTTAGGAGAGCAGCGGAAAGGCATGAATGAGGAGTCCGCTTCCTGAAAGGACGAATGCTGCCGGTTTCCAGCAAATAGAGAGGAGCAACAACGCAGAGGATACAGTGGAACCCCAGAGGACTCTCCGGCAGAAGGAAAAGCCATCCTCAAACAGAGACATAAAAGCGCAGATGAGTCGCAAAGACAACTAAAACAGCTCCCGCACAGCTGCAGCATGTCTAGCCCTCACAGAGCTTCAGTGCTGATGTGCCCATGCATGCTCCTGTGTGTGGAGAAAAGGCTGGTCAAACGCATGAGGCCCAAAAACAAACGGAGAAAATAATCTATTCACAAGGAGAAAAGGCAAGGGTTACACGCATGAAAGTCCTCATTAGGGTTTTGTGTTTAGAGTGAGAGCGGGAGTGAATATGCGGCATGTAAGAAACAGCACACCTGATGTCTGCACTCGGCCATATGTCACCTGAAGAGCCACCAACTGAGTGAAAACTGTCTCAGAGGATCACTGACATGTTTGAGGGAAACAATGAAAGTGAACCGCTTTGCCAAGAATTCCTAAGTCAGTCTGAGCCATTCCTGAGACATTATGTATTCTCAAATGCATGCATCATACAGTTGCAGCCGGACACTCAACCCTCAACCGAGCTCTTGTTGTGACTCAAAGATCGCATTATTTCAAATGACACAATAAAATTGATGTTTTCAAAGGAATAATTGGGTCAGTGGCCGTGGAGCAGCTAAGCTGGCGGTAATGTAATTACAGTAGCATGGCACTCGTGTCCTCCCCGCACTCCCACGCCAGAAGGAGACACTCGACAGAATGCCACAGCCTATGGAAGATGAACTAGAGATCTGTCAAAATGGGGATAAGGGGCGTCTGTGGTTAACACTTTTGAATGAAGCCGGCAGACAGGGGGGGGCCTTCTTGTCAGCTTGCTTGGATCTTGACCAGTGTGACATGATTACAGTGAGAGAAGATCACAGACAGGCCTGAATGAAGAGCTTCTTTGTGCTGGAGAAAAAAGCAGATAGCGACTTTTATGTGCCCCCACTCTGTAGCATTTGTTCCTGTGCATTCCCTAAATACAGCCTGTTCTGTCTCACTCTCTCTCTCCCTCGCTCTGACTCACACATACCATAAACACACACATACAGCACTTGCGTGGCTTCATTTTTCCCAAATCATATGACACGGGCTTGTGTAGAAATCGAGACAAAGTCCAACCTTCCACTGTTGTCCAGACACCCACTTCACTTCCAGGGCGCGCACACACTCCCAGAAGCACCATCACATAACACTAGATAATCCATCTTACATAATAGTGCTGCTTCTTGATATCTAGAAATGTCCACAGGTCTAAAGCATTGTGTATTTGCCACTGCACCACCTGAGGCCTGCACCTACAGAACATTATTACCCCGCTGTGTGTTTCAGCTCAGCTCCACCCATGTGACCAGCTGTCTCTGCGCTACTGTGAACACACCCCATAAATACCTGCACTGAAAGATAACAGGAGCATAACAAACAGCGGGAAGGGCACCTACTGTGTTGTTGCAAGGAAACAACATGCTTTGGGGAGTCCTAGAGAGGCCTTGTCTAGTCTTTTCCCTCTTAGGTGAGCATCAGGAGGCCTGGGGACATCTAGAGAGTGCTTGGGGAGGTAATAGGGACATATTCCAAAGATCAGGGCGGGATTAGCACTAATGCCTGCCGGCTTTATCTGCAGTCACGTGGGCTAACACCTGGCTGCAGTGTTGGTGGCGAAGCCCAGGCATTGCTGTATGTGTGTGTGTGTGTTGGTGTTAATCCATCAGACACCTCTAACTCAGGGGTTAGGCCAGCATGTAGGGCCCACTGATAGAGCACCAGCAGGCACTTCTTTTTCTGCTGCTAAAACCTGTCCTGATTACAGTCGGAGTAATGGTGAAGAAAAGTGACAAGCCCTGTGAGTGAGAGATCTGTTGTGTTGGCACCGGGGTGGGCCAAAAGGCTGTAAAATAAAGTGGATGTTCTGAGCCAGGATTGGCTGTTCTAAATCCAGCCTTGGTTCTAATGCAACTGAAAAAGGCTTAGGTTAGACTGTGCTGTAATTTTGCTGGGCAGCCACTTCTGTTGGCTTCGGCTCTGTCACTCAGTAACCATAGGATAATTAAAACAAGCCTGTTCCTTGTTAGTGAGAAAGCTACCGTTCATTATTGAGAAGAAAAAAAAGAAAAGAAAAGGGGAAAACATCTGCAGGTAACGCCAGAAAAATAGCATTCATTTTTACACACATTCCACAAATCCTGACTCCTGCATCCTTTTACTGGACATAACTGGTAAGTGGCTTGAAAAGCTTCAATTTTATTTTGGAAGGCCTACTATCACCCACGGATTTATACAGATTAATCCAGTGACCCAACAGCCTAGCACGAAATCTCACCACTCAAACCTGTTGCTGTTAGGGTGGCGTTAATCAGGTGTGAGGGGAAGATGCACATTTGACACCTGTCTCACTTTGCCCGCCCTTTGCTATTTCGGGAAGAGCTGAGTTAAGGTAAAGTTGTGGCATGCATTTAAATAGTTTTTTTCTAGCAGGGTTACATGAGACTTGGCAAAGAAGCATCACCTTGCCTCATAATTTTTGTGCCACCCGAGAGGAAGATTGATGTTGTCTCTCAGCTGCTTTCTAAAGAGGAGCCTGTGAGCTGCTATTCTGGCTGCTAATCTGTCTATGCCAGATCCTCTTTTAACACAACAGCATCGGCTCTAAACCCATGTTAAACATGTTGATGTTGCTGTTACAAAAGGTTGACGGCCATCTGGCACACACTGAATACCACTTTCAAATATGACCCACGCGAGCAAGCACAAGCAAGCACAAACATCTGAAATATGATGACATTTTGCTTCCTTAAAAGCCTATGCTTTCTTAAGATTAAAATAAATCTTCATTTTTTTATATGCACAATGAGTATATTATCAATTTTATCGCGCAAAAAAAAAAATGCAGACGACACAACGAGGAGTGGTGCATCCGTTCAGCCTCCTCATCAGCTTCCTCCAGTTATGACAAGCTTTGGCAGGTTATGAAAGTTGAACAGCTCAATTGACTTTAGGCTTAACCTCTATCTGGCCTCTCGGGGCTCCACTAGATTCAGTATAATCTCTACGTATGATATGGGCTTAGTGAGAAGGGGATCATCACTTCAGTAAAATGCCCACAGTGAGTATCATCAAGTTTCTCTCAGTGTGCCTCCTTTATATTTTTAGATAACAAGTTTAACAATTTGATCCCAATCTTCTTAATTATTTAAACTATTAAAGGTTCAGCTCTGCAAAAAAAATTAAAAAATAAATAAATCTCTGAAATGATACATAGAGAGGAAAATAATTAGCTGAAATGGTTGTTTATATATCTGTAAGTAATGCTTTAACCTTTGGGGAACAAAAGCCAGAGAGTATTTGGAGAGCAATTATGCATGTTAATGAGGCAAACCACCATGTTGGATAAGCGACATGGAAGGAAAATAACCCTCCCTGACAAAATAAACTTGTCAGAGGTTGTTCAAACTCTGCAAGAAAATCATAATAATAATTTATTTTTTGCAACATACCGGCATGCCTCTTGTAATCAGTGGTAACTGCTTTGCAAACATTTCGTGACAGGCGGCTGTGCGGTATTGACATGTGGTTCCTGCGAAGGCCGCTTGTTGATACAGATAATCCAGCGTGTGTTTTCTGCCACTCAAGCACTTGGTGAGGCATCCCTGTCAGCGGCACCTAACGCCTTCCCCATAAGCTGCTGGCTTAAACTAACAAAAGAAGATGTGGTGTCCTTACCGTTCGGCCGGCTAATCCAGACTTAGCTGCGTGGCGTCGTCTTCAGCTGACCTCCACAGGCAAGTGCTGGCTAGGTAAGTCCATCATCATCACAGGCGAGGCGCGATAGCAGGATTCCTGCTAGTTCCCCTGAAAAGCATCACAACTCCCTGTGCTTGCAAGTAGGGAAGGCGTCCTGACTTGATTCAGGTCCAGGCTGTATTATTCATTTATCATATTTCCACTTCCATAGAATTCTTAAGTTGCAAAGATCAATATCAACATTCCTCCAAATGTAAGCATGGGCTTCATGGCTTCTTGGAAGGTTGATCCATTCAAAAAGAGGAGAGATGGGTTGTTGAGAGCAGCCTGTCACTTGGTATCACTTCAAAAAATTCAGAAAACTCCTGTCATCGTCCTCCTTCAAACAGAGTTCTTGGTCCCCTTTCCGCACAGACTTGAGCCTGAAACAAGAGGAGCAGAGCAAAACTGAGGTGCAGTGTCATGTCATGAACAGATCTCACAGATGCCTCAACTTTTATTCCATCTGTTATGAAACTCACTCTCCCTCAGAACGTTTTATCTTCATACAAGAGCGGTGTTGGAATGATAATGCACATCTCCTTACCCTCTTTCCAGCAGCACTTCTTCTCTCCAGCTCCAGAGAGGGGAACTCTGTGGGTCGAGAAGATGGGTGAGGAGGGAGAGCTCGGTTACCGTAAGTGGAGCAGAGAGCTCCTCTGATGCCTCTGCCTGCCTCACCCCCTCAACTGTTGCTCCTCCTCCTCCATAGTTGTGCTTGTGGGCCGAGTCGGATTACTCCTGACATGATAATCTCCCTGGCTCTAGCTCCAGGAGCACTAAAGGATGCTTTGGCCTGAGCAAGGGCTTACATTTACCTTCTGCCGCAAGAGAGTCTGCCATCTTAAGCAGGAGATTGGTAATAGCCTCAATTGGGCAGATCGGTCTGCTGAAGCAAGTGTTTTCCAATCTTTTAGTGGGAATTAAGAAAGTTCACAATTGGTTTAAATGGTGCTAAGACAACATTAACCCAAGTTAAATAGAATTATCACAGCAGAGGTATTTCATGATGATTCCATCTACAGTTGGCCGGGGATAAAACCAAGGGTGTTGTTGTTGAGGATCTCACGTTCACGTCTCCTCCAATACAAACCAGCATTTTAGCCCTTGAGCCTCGAGCGCCAAATTAGGAGCAGATGGTTGTGCTTTTGGAAGGTATCAGGCACTCCAGACTGCAATCTAAATAAATACCCCATCCATGGAGGAAATGCGTCAGGTGTGCAGGGTCAGTCATATATAAACAAAGGCCAACCAGTTTGGAGACGAGTGAAGCGCTGGATGAGGGAGGAGAGGTGACGGAAGTACGCAGAGGTGTACAGGTGCTGTTTGGGAGCATAAAGCCGTTCCATAAATCTGCAGGTAACAGAGCAGAGCTTATGGTTCAGAGCTGCAGCCGGAGCCAAACATGCTGAAATGTGCTGGAGAAACGAAAGGCAGCATCACAACAGGAAACAAATTATTTGCTAACAAATATCTCATTCTAACACCATGAGTCACTGTGATATCCTCGGGCCAAATTATACACAAATCTCACTGTGCAGTGTTTCAATAGAGAGGTGGAGATGTGGCCAAATGCTAACTTGCTAGAACTTAAAATTCCTTCAGTGTTGACTGAGAGAGAAAGGAGAAAAAAACCAAAGGAATCTTTACCCAAGCTTCGTCTCATACCAAAAAATGTGTATTGATGGATATCTGAGGGTTGTTATCTCAGTGACCTGAAGCGTAGATTTCATGTAAAGTTTGAAGTGAAGCCAAAACAAATTTTTCTTTTCGCTTAAACCCCTTCAGCGCTAACCTGAAGAAAAACACTGGGCCACAAATCAACAGGAGATCTGTTCTCTTCTTCAAGCTGAGAATATTTTGGTGACGGTCAGCAGGTGCACAATTATCCACATCCGCTCCGCAACAAAAAAACATAAGAAAATATGAGAATTATTAAAACTAACTTGTTTGACATATACCTCAATTATTGTGCAGAGGAGCCTGTGTAAATACATAATGGCCTCCAGTTTAACTGTGGATATCGTGCTTTTCTAGCCTTGAAAAGGAACCATCAGCACAGAAACATTTCCTGACATCAGGCAGGAACCTTTCTACTCTATACATATTGTTCACAGATGTGTTAAGTTTTCATAGACCAACCCTCCTGTAGTAAAACCCCAACAGCTGTTAATTGCTAAATCAAGTCAGAGACAATAGAGAGAAACATTTGAGCCGTGCATTGCAAAGTCTCACTCAACAGCTACGATTACATTAGTCAGAGAGACAGTCTGACGTTCAGAATATACAAGAGAAAAAAAACAACAAAGTATGTTTCCAATTTGAATATGATAGAATCCCATACACATCGGATTGAATCTTTTCCACTGGGTGTGGATAAGTGAAGAAACACATTTTGTTTAGGTTTGGGCAAGATTTTAAGGAAGCCCTCAATCAGTAACACTATAAACACACCATTCCAGTCGAGGTGTCATTAGAACGGCTGGAAATAAGGCACAAATGTTGCTACTACGCTCGTCTTGCACAAGATGTGGTTTGATGATTGGACAAGAAGCCTTCAGCCAAATGTCATCTCAGCGAGTGGAAAACTACTTTTTAGAGAACCAAAATCTAAACAGGCATTTGTGAAAAAGATGCAGACGGACAATGGGGGCTTTTTTTCTGAGCGTTACATGTTGAAAGACAACACCTCTTTCTCGGAGAAAGTGGTAACAAGGTAAATCCATCCTGGCTCAAGAACAAATATACACTGCAATTTGCAGTGGTGACCAGACGAGCTGAGGCCCCAGGGGCGCAGAGGCCACTCGAGTTTCAAAAGGCGCGTCTGTAGATTCAGAGAGACTTTTACCTCAGCACCGCCTCTGTTTGTGTTACAATTTGTACCTTCAGCTAATATGTATTATAGTCTCTTTACATGTATTATAGTGAATTTACTTCCTACACAACTACAGTGTGACAAGTAGAAGAAAGTGTTTAGAATAACATGTTTGTGGGAACAGCTAAATGCTGCCCCCATCTGCCTGTGGTTTACAACTACATGTCTCCCAGAATAAACAACCTCTCACCAACAGAGATGCCAAAACTAATATAGCTTTTGTTGTTTAATGCAATAAATATTTAATTTGCTTCATAAACTTTTAAATTTTGGTAAGATTTTGTTATTCAGCACAGGTGGTACTGCTCCAGCCGCCTCTTCTTTCTTTGATCTGCTGCAGCGGCTTCCCTCTGCCCTGAAAACCCTTGGTGCCGTCAGGACCAAACGGCTGGCGCAGCACTCTTTGCATGCCACATGCATACGGGAGTCCGGGTGCTTTGGAGTTTAATGCACTGGCTGCAAATTTGCGCCTCAACACCCAGGGGATCCCAAAACTCTCTTTATCACAGTCTCCAGAGCACCAGCTCATTCTGCTGTACCTCACATTCAACCCAGAGAAGGACTGGCCGCTGCAGCTGGTGGAGATCTGCTCAGAGCTACTTTGAATGGAGCTGTTCAAAGTATTTTGGGGCTGACATGTATCTGGAGTCTTAGCTGGTGAAGAGGGTTCCTCCTTGACCAGATCCTCTGAGGTTTCCAGTGGATTTTTCTGGGACAGCGTGTACACAGATTTGTCCTCAGTTTTTTCTTCTGATGATTTGTCCTTGCTGATGTGATGCGTTGACTGGAATCCCAAAGGCACCACACACATGTCCTTCCCGTTGGACTTGTCTTCTTCTGCTTTCAGGACACTGTAGGTCTTACGGACCGCCTCTAAACTATCAAACTTCACCACTGCGCACAAATGTTGGCCAAGCTCTCTGTGACGTTTGGCGTAGCACTGCAGCTCCTTAGGTAGCGTTTTGCCAGGATGCAGGATCCAGACTGAGGTAACACCACTGTAAGCTCTGAACTGTAAGATCCTCTCTGAGAGGGAAAGTCGCTCCAGGCCTCGGGCTGCTCCGTCTTCTCCGGTTTGCTCCTCACAAATGTTCCAGACGAGGAGGAGCTTGCTGCTGGGGGAACACAGCAGCCATCGGGGAAGTGGCTCTATCCGCCTCACTTTGGTGCGCTCATCATTCACTTCAAGAAGGTCTGAGCGCTCTGCTGCTGCTAGAGTCATGTACCAGTTTGTGGTCAGGGCCTTTATCTGTGGCAAACAGTGGCAAACTCAGCTTTGTTTGCATTTCACTGCATTGTTTTTATTCAAATGTTTGGAATGCAAACACCACAGAAAGCGTTCAAAATCTTGCTAAAACCAAAGAAATGTGTCTTTTTTTTCTTTTACCTTTTTCAAACAAGTGAGGAGCTTGAGACTCACGTAGCCCTGCTTGTTCTTCTGCACATGTTTAAGCAGGAAGCCATCCTCTGCCAGGTGGCTGTTGGAGAACAAATCCTCCAAATGGGCTTTAATCTTGAAGCACAGCAACTCACCATTTCGCTCTTCCTCATCTTTGGCAGATTGTGAATCATCTCTGCAAGAAGACAGGACTCAGGATCATGATATATTGCAATCTAGATTAGTCAGCCATGTGATTTTTTTTTTTATTTCCTTACCCAGTTGGATTGCTCATGGTGTCTCCTGAGGTTAGGGATAACAGGTCACTAAGCTGCAGTGTTGTTTGGGCTGTTTTAAGTATTAAGGAAAAGCAGCAGGCTACATAAGAGCTGAAGAACAAAAAAACATGCACCTGGACACACTTCATACAGCCACAGTGATGTTGGTTGGTTCTGTGGGATCCAAAACAAAATCATATGATGCTGCAACAACCAAGATTCCACATCACACAATCATACATCTACCACTGACAATAACACAAAGTTACTCCCCTGTGTGTGTTTAAAAAAGGAGAAGCACTGTCATGTAAACAAACTAGAAGCTTTCATAAACAGAATATTATCACTGCTGAAATTACGGCGCAACAGAAATAACCCCAGCATATCAGTATTATTATCATAACACAAAAGAACAACAGCGTCATTATAGGTGTGAATTTCTGTAGCGTGCGGTTCAGAGCTAAGTGCACAATCAAATTAGAAGAAAATTATGATATTGCCGGACCAAATACACAATTCATGGCAGCACAAAGTATAAAACAGTAATTAGAATTTAAATGAAAACATTTTACTGCTGCTGCATGTCATTCCAACATGTTCAAAGCACCAACAAGTCAGTTACATGAAAATATGTTCCCTGTTGGTTTATGTGTTTGAACCAGTGCCCAGATAAATATGCAAAACCTGCAGCTCTGCAGTGACGGTTGACTTAGCAAGTTCCATACACATTTGTATAAACTGAGGAGTGATGCCAAGAAACAATATTTACATCTATCTGTATCTATTCATTAGACTGACAGTAGTGTCTCCGTGGTGACATACAAAAAACGACTGTCATTAGACTGTGCGTATGATATCTCTCCCTCGCTGGCTCGTTCCCAATGTAACGAACACTGAGCAGTTTACTCGACAGTGAGCAGTGAACTGAGATTTCACACAATTATGAATCATCATTATTCTGCATCATCTCTGACAGGTGCAGTGATACAAGACTCATCTTTGAATCGATAAAAGGAGATACATTGCATGGTGGGGTTTACTGTATAGCAGAAGTAGTAGTGTAGAAGTAGAACTTTTACACTCTGACTCAAAACACTTAAATAAAATGGTGGACAATAATCATAGTGCACGATATAGTAAACAGTTATTTAGGACACTGATGGGTAACACTGCTCTGATTTAGCATTCATCAACAGTATTTATAAACAGTGTTTATAATGTACAGTATTTGTCAGCAAGTATAACTTATCCTATAAAGACTTTTGTTATTTAATATTTTATATTATTACAACAGTGTTTGACTAAACATCAGTTTTACACACCAGCCTCCACTCACAGGTGCCCAACTTTTGTTGTTACAAACCCTCTGTCTGCACAAAGGCAGTGCTGGAACAAACTGTGTTACTACACCCCCTGATACATTATTAGGATAGTGCTGTACTGCAGGAAGTACTGCTGTATGTTGTTATCAGAATTGGGAGAAAAAGGCAAGTAAGGAAGACAGGCTGGTTGGTCAGAGGTTCATCCTACAGCAAGACAATGATCCAAAACATCAGAAGAAAAGAACAGACGGTGGCTTCACATGATGAAGACCAGCACAGACTGCTGATGTAAACCCCACAGAGGTGATTTGAGATGAACTGGAGAGAAGGTGAAAGCAAAGCAAACTGCAAACGCAACACATTTGTGGGAACCAACATGTCGGGACAAACTTTCTGAACAATGTTTAATTTCCACTGTAGAAAGAACGTCACGAGTGTGTTCAGCAGCTGAATGAGTCAAAATGTTAGCTTCAATTAAGGGTTTGAGATTCCATGATTCCCCTTTTTAATTATTCATTTGTTCCATGTTGAGTTTCAGAGAACACCAGGACATTACAAGTGGAAAAACTGAGGTGTTCTTAAACTTTTGACGCAGTGTACATCTGCTTGCAACTACATTATGGTGCGTTAGACACCACGTATTAAATGTTTGCGTACCGCTTCTACATGTTAATTGAGGGATTTAAAGTTAAGTGTTACCAGAAACAATTAAGAAAATTGGTTTTGGCAGCTTCTCAAAAAATAGGAGGGGGGTGGATATCCTTCAGAATTCCTAGCTACACCTCTGCAAACACACACATACACAACCACACACACTTCCAAATATCTAGACATGAAGTTTTATCGTTGGAACGAGCTCTTAGAAATCCCTTGAAACAAAGGAAACATGATCATGAACTAAAACTGTAGTGTTCGCTGGTGACCCCAGGGGCAAAAAGCAGAAGAACAAATTACAGATTTATCGGTCAAGCATTTTGTAAAATACAGCATCAACAAACAAAACTTCACAAGCCGGGATTTGTACAAAAACCCAATTATTTAACTTTATTAACATCAATGTTTTTTCTTTTTCATCAACAGTTTCTTTTTAAATTCCAGTTCTTTATCAACAAATAGAAAACAGACTGTGTGTACAACAGATCGAACCCCTACAGCACTAAGCATTCACAAGGTAAAAATGAACATTTTTGTTTTTCGCCAGCGTTTTCAAGTCCCCCCTCCCTTCCACTGCCACCTCCACCACCTCCACCACCACCAATGCTATAACGTTCAGGCCTCTCGGATCAGACGCTCCCTCCTGCGGCTCGTGTGGGAGAGGATGTGTGCTTGAGTAGTGCGATGGCCTGTGCTGAGTGAGGAGTCGTTCCTTTTGATGGGTGGGGTGGGGGGGGGGGTTGTGCTGTTTTTGCTCATTCAGATGGACAACCAGCTGTCAAAAGTTACTATGGTATTACAGTAGATACAACGGTGTTTCCATTAATACACACTCTAGGACAGCAGGCTCTCTGCAGTGTCTCTAGGGTTGGTAGATCAGCAGAATTAATCCTTTTAACAATATACTTTTGAAGCTGTGTATATATCTATGTGTAATTGTACATATATATAATCAATCATAATTATATATATATTTATAGTTCTATTTCTGTATAAAATAATATCAGGTTTCAGTCCAAAGGGCTGAGTCTCTTTCCCTCTGGTAGGAATGGTTGATTCTGTACAGGTGCCAGCGTTGATGGCTCTACTCCTCAGCCCATATGAACCACTTCCGCTCCTTTCAGTGTGTGTGGTTCAGCTCCATCAAACCGACCAGGCTAATGGGCAGCGAGGAGACGGGAGGGACTTGAAGAGCGTTTATATTCAGAGATCAGGGAGTTTATTTTCTGTCAACTACCCTTTGGGTATAAAAGTCTGTTTTCCTCAGGTAAGTTCTCCTCTGTGGAGTATGAAGGCCTCAATGCCATAGGCTTCTGATGAAAAACAAACAAACAAACAAACGAAAAGAGAAAACATAGAAATCATGTGCTTTCCATTTCTGTACACCTCTCATTTAGTCTCTTGTTAGCTAATTCACTTGTTTTTTTTTTAGCTAGCTACCATGTTTACAGAAGGATAACTTTATCAAGTGTGTGCTCTGAAATCAATTTTCTCAAAGTAGATTTTTTTTTTTTTTTATCGGAAACAGCAAGTGAAAAGGCAATTTTTTTCTGATGTATTGAATTGTATAAGACCAAAAACAATGTAATGATACATAATATGAATAACACAATAATGTCGTATGATAAAAGAAATCTGACAGCAGCTCAGAGAACAGTGGTCCTCCTGTATTAGTATCTAGGAACGTGTTAAAAATACATGTCCCTTGTGCTAAAGTACCCTAAGATAAAAATAAAAAAAGTACCGATTATGAAAATAATGCACGCCCGAGGCAGGGCAGTTTAAGACAGAGGAAATGTCTGATGTTAAAATGATAATTAAAAACGTGAAAAAAAAGGTATACTAAATAATAACATTTGACATAATGAATCGTAATATTGACAACAAAACTAACAAAGAACGGAGCGAATGCTCTCTTAGTGCTACCAGTAGCCTTTGACAATCAGGGAGGTTTGGCTTGGACAGAGCAGAGAGGCTGGCTGCCGGTCTGCCCTGTCGCATCTGTACAAGATTTGTCATAGTCATTGTAATGTTTCCGTTATTATTTTTAAAGCAAAATTTCATGTGGTTGGTTGAGTCGGCGTGGATCTCTGTGATTGGTTGAACTCGTCGCTGGGTCTGCAAGCACGTCCCATTCTCCTCCCCTCCGGTAGCTGCGAGGGGGTTGGTTTTTTAGGGGGGTCAAGTGAGTGGATGGTGGCTGAGATGGGACACTTGGCACACTCCTGAGAGGTTTGACCAGGGAGGCTGCTCGGAGAGAGTGGTTACGTTGCATAGTGGTCAAAGCTCCCCAAGTACTCCAATGCTGCCCTGTAGCACAACTGGTACTGGTCCTGTGGAGAAGAGGAGGACAGTGAGGAAGTGTATATGCAAGGTGGTGTGTTTCAAGCATTTCAAGGGGTTTGCAGCAAAAACCCTGGTTTTGTTTCTATACTTATGTCTCTGTATTTTCGAGTGTATTTATGAGTAATGAGTTTACCCATCATTATCTTGGTGTTACCAAGTTAAGCTGGAATACTTAAAAGTAATGAAGTGACTCCAGTCTACAACTTCAGCTGTAGTGCTGCGTGTTAGAGGCATTAGAGTATTCAGTTTCTAAATGTATCTGAATTTGTGAAAATATAGCTTATTTCTTTTTTAAATCTTAAAATGTTCATGAACCCATTTAAATTCACACCATGACTGCCTTCTTTAATGTGTGTTGCTAGTTTCTTAAATAGTGTATTTATTAATTCTTAATTCTTTAAATAAAAAAAATGGACACTAATCCTCTGTGATGGCACCAGATGAGTTTGCTGATGCACTTCTAAAACCTCTATTAAGGCAGGATTTGCCAGTGAGCCTTTGTTTCAGTGGAGCACTCCACAAAAAAGACACTTTAGATAACATCAGGTTCACACATTCAAAATATACAATATTGACTTTGGAGTGTCGCCCTGTCACTGTGGGATTTTGAGCCTCGACAACATCCTTGTCAGTACATCGTCCTCACCTCGGTCTGCACCATCGCAGGCCGCTGGGTGCGAAGTGTCTTCACTGTCTGGAAGAGGTCGACCACGCCCTCGTACCTCATCCTCTCCAGCACGATGCTGAGGGTGATGAAGACTCCGGTCCTGCCCACCCCGGCACTGAGGAGCACGCACACACACACACACACACACACACACACGGATATTTCATAAATCTACTGTCTGCTGACTCTTTATGACTTTAATGTTCAAAATTATGGATTTAAAGATCATTGTGTTTTCAAGCAAGTAATTTCAGGTTGCTCTGACAGACAGACAAGGGATGTAGTTTTTTTCAAAAATGTACTGAGTCCACCTGAGTTGTTAGCATGAGCATACTTTTGTTCTTATAATGCATTGGTTATAAAGAGTACATCTTATTTCACTGCATTCCTGGGTCCAACAGCATTTGCACATGAATATAAGTATTTTGTAAACCCTGATCAATGAGATGATAAGAAAGCCTCTTGGCATGACACAATACAGTTCAACAGTAACACACACTGCAGCCAAAACTGACCATAAAATTGAATCATCACATCTTTAATACAGTCAAAACATTAAGTCTTTCATGAAAGTAGGCTCTAATATATTAGTCTTAATTCGTTTCAGCTAAGTGTACCTCAAGACCTGGAAAATGTGTGTAATTCTTAGAAATGGCTTTAAATGACGAAAATACCATTGAAATGACAGAGGATAGTCATAAAAGCGTAGACAGTCACAGCTAATCTGAAATGTGGTTTGTATCTCTGTCATTATCTCATGATGCTTGTTCTTGTGCGTGTTGAACACTACAGATTATATGAAGCTTAGTCATTTATAAGAACTCATTTATAAGAAATTCAAACAGTAACATTTGCGAGCATGTACAAAACTCTGAAATAGCGATAACCCATCACACCTACAGATCTTGTTTGAATTTTATGATTAATCTGTTCCATCTTTCCTCCTTACCTGCAGTGTACAGTGATTGGTCCGTCCTGTCCAAACTGTTCCTTGGTTTTGTGCACTTGTCCAATGAAATCGATGAAGCCCTCTCCAGTTTTTGGCACTCCTTGCTCGGGCCAGTCAGTGAACTGGAACTGGCGGATTGTTCTGGACTGGCCATCCTGAGGGGCAGCAGATGAGGAGTTTAACAACATTTGAGAGGCATTGAAACGTACAGAGAAAAATAGAAAAACGAATATGATGTATAACGTGTATTTTATTCATCAGAGTTAACATTAACATTTTAATTAATCTCTATGACCAAATAACACTCTGCTATGTTGCAGCACCACCTTTGCTCTAATGTGCCCTCAACAAAAACAACACCGTGACAGTCTCTCAGGTCGAGGTCCGCGAGCATCGTAACCCTGCTGGTTTTTCACAGCGGCCATCTAATCATCTAGTTCACACCTGGGATGTGAAATGAATAAAGCTGACAACCTGGAAGGAGATAAAATCAGCAAGGCTGTGGCATCCAAGGACCAACACTGAACTGCCACACATCTGACAGCACTGTGGTGTCAGCATGTGTGACTGAATGTTTTTTGGTTTTTTTTGTACAAATCAAGACTTTATTTTCCAAATCTCTCTCTCTTTCAGTGCACACATACAGCATATACATGTAAGAGAAAGGAGGAGTGGATGTGGGATTAGTGTGCTGCTGCACTGTGAGCCTTCTGATGACAGTAAAGTTTATTTATAGCTCATTGAAACTACTGCATCACAGGGAGTTCCAGTACTGGCCCTCGGGGATTGGAGGATATGCTTTTCATGTATTTTCAGTGATCTCAAAACACACACACACACATCCAGAAGCACACAAACACACACATACAATCCAAAGAGCAAGCACACTGTTACTAAATCTGGGTAAAAATGTTTGATGGCGCATTCACTTGATGTCAGCCTGTCAGGAGAAATAACACGGGATGCGTTCTGATCATCTCTACCTTGAAATCAGAGTTGGTATAATTCTTAACACAACTGTCAGCATTTATATGAAAACCTTAAATGGATTTGGAATGGATGGTTGTATTTGTGTAAAATGCCAATCAATCCTCATCCCCTCCCACCAAGACACACACACATGCACACACAAGGGCAAACACACACACAAGGGCAAACCCACAGATATTCACACACACAGTGAGGCCAACATACCCTGGCATCTGTGACTTTAAACTCTCGGAGGATGTACTGGGGCATGTTGTACTCAGCCATCGGATCCACCACAAAGTATTGGTACCTGGCTGAGCGCTCCGCTGGCCAGTACTGATGACACTTCTCCTACAAAAGAAAAGGGAGGCAAAAAAGATTTAAGCACTTATACTTGAAGAACGCTTTTTCCAAACACATTCAGGGGAGAAAAATGACTTTTACATAATGACTGTCTGGCATACTAGGACAGAATATTTTCATTATAACAACTAACTGTACCTTATTAGTCATTCTGAGTCATGAGAAGGTCTCTGCTTACAAATGGTAATCCAGATAGACTTATCTGTGCCTTTTAAATACACTTTAATGGCAAAAATATTTACATAATTTGTTTGTGTCCTTAACTACAGCGATAATGTGCATAAGGGTTTTTTTTTTTCCATAAACTGATTATGGATGCGAGGATGAAAAAGCTGTAAAAGGCTGTTAAGTGCTGTCACAATCACCTACATAATCACAAGAAACAGCTCAGTGGAAGATATTATGGATTAAATCAAACCAAGATGACTACCCTGATGTTTTTTTTTTTCTTTTTTATCTTAAAAGGAATAGTTCAAAGTTTCTGAGAGATGCATTTATTTGCCTTTTTGCTGAGTGTTAAAATGAGATGATTGATGCCACTCTCATGTCTGTCCCTTAAACATGAAGCTGGAACCAGCAGCTGTTTACTCATGAAACAGAGGGAAACAGCTATCCTGGTTCTGCCCCCAAAGGTAAAAGCATCTGTCGACTTGCACCTCCTTGATTTTTTTTCTCCGTATCTTTGTGTTGGACAGTTGACAGTGTAGAGGCAGACAGGAAACAACAGGAGAGGCAGAGACAGGGGTATGACGTTCAGCGGAGAGCCAGGCTAGCTGTTTCTCCAGTGTTTGTGCTAAGCTAAGCTAACAGACTCCTGGCTGTAGCTCAGATGTGAGAGTGGTATTGATTTACTCATCTACTTCTCAGCAAGAAATGACTAAGTGTATTTCCCCTTTGTCGAGTTCAACTATCATAAGCGGTCTATGTCTACAATATGAAAAGGTCTGTGAATAAGCATAACATTTAGCTCTTGTTACCAAAACTGACCATTTTTAATAAAGTGTAAAGCATTCATGCTATATGGGAATTATCAGAACTCTTGGAATGCAACCAAATATTGACAAATCTGAGCCTGTTTCAACCCAGATGCATTCCTTCCACGGTGATGAAGAAGTTAATTTTTAACCAAAGTTACTGTTCAGGGTTGGACTGAATTAATATTTGAGCACTGTGACGCAGTAGCTCGGCTGAACCCAGCCGAGTATTGAGATTATTATCATCCACTTTGACCTTACAGGTGCTGCATGCATTTATGTAAAACACGTTTGTGTATTACCCGTCCCATCTCTCGTAGCTTGGTGAGCATGACGACGATGGTTGAATTGTGCTCCCACAGCATCCTCCAGAAATCCTCGGTGGTCTCGGCCAGTGGGCCCTGTGTGGCCAAGTAGGCCTTCTGCTGTCTGAGGACGCGAATGCACACAGAGGAGGCAGAGATTAAACATTACACAAAATAAACATAAACTTTATTGCGCTTTCACAACTGGTATTATAAAGCACACCACAAAGCAATAACCAGAAAAGGATTTAATGATAAAGGAGTGCTGTTGTTGTAGACCGTTTAGCAAAGACTGTTAATCCACCCCCACCCCCCGAAATTTAATAACACATAGGATATAAGACGCACAACGAAACTGATGTCTTAAAGAACGATCAAAATACATTCAGACACAAATCTTTTCAAATAAAATTCAAAGGCTGCGCAGCTTCCTGTGTTACTCCACTTTTTGTTCTATGAAACATACCATCTGGCAGATATTTATATACAAGGCACCTACAGCAGCATGACTTGTAGGAAACTGATTCATAACCCATAAAGGCATGTTGTTAAAAAGCATTCAGCTGCAAACTGAAGATAATGTAACGTTCTGTTGTCCTTGTAGTGTCTGTCAAAAACGTCTCTGCAATTATGCCGACAACAAATTCCTACACATTTAATGAACATAGCAAATAATCCTTGGCAGCTATCACCATCATTGAGCTATTTAAGCCTGCTTAGATCCTCTCCTTCTTCCTCGCTGTAACACAACACAGAACGAGAGAGAGAGAGAGAGAGAGAGAGAGCACTCGATACGCTCACAAAACTAGAGATGAGCTCATCCACTGAGGTGCCAGGGCTGTGCTTGTGTCCTACGTGACTTTGGTCCGGCTGAGCAGTTCATTTCGTCAAACAGCAGGTGGCAGCAGCGCGCTGATCAACAGACACAGAGGTAGCTGAGTAATCCAGCACACAAACACGCACATGATTGTGCACACACTCACATGTTTGTAGCACATGTAAGCTCGCATCCAGGTGTACGCATTTTCGCATGCAGTAGTTTTGCATGTATATTCAGACACGGAACTGCACACACGCACACACTCAGTCACACACTGAGCCACGGCTGAACAACTAATGAAGGTGCTGCAGGCAAGGCACTAATGTGGAACCGGGAGATTAGAATATGCTCAGGGCCTCGCTCGCACAAATAAAGAAACAACAGATTGGTGGAGAGGAGATGGCATACGAGGAGGGGGAGGCAACAGAGTGAGGAATCAAATTAAAAAGATGAAAACGGGGGAAAGAAAAATGCAAAGCAAAGAGCAGAGAGATGTACAAAGTACAGAGAGAGGATGTAGAGAGGAAAATGTGGAGAGATGAAAAGAGTGAGCACTGCTCTCTCCAGCTGGTCATTGGAGTGCAAAGTAGTACTGACTGCCGAGGAAAGGAGAGGAGAGGAGAGTAGGGAAGAAAAGAGAAGCAAGGAGATGAAAATGTACGAAAAGGATGAATGCTAAATTTCAAATTGATAGGGTGGACCCCTCTAACCTCCCCATAAAACGGCCCCTAGCCAAAACAAAAACAATTCTAACCGTATCACACAATACTGACTTCTCTGCACACAGTGTCCCAATGAGCATGCTGCCAAACAGCACAAAGCACTCTCTGCATCATCCCACATGACTGCAGTGCTTGAGGACATAGTGTTTCATTTCAACCTCATTACAATGCTAAAACTCCAGCCTGCATCAGAGCATATCCAGGGCTCGTGCCCCTGATAGCATAGCTGGAATCAATGGTTCGCCTCTCATTAGCTTAGCATATTATTGGCTTTTCTTGAAGGCGCTGGGGTGAAGGGCACTGGAGGCTCCTGTTTAGTTTTTATTTATGCCTGGGCTTAAAAGCAGCTTAATTACACAGTGCCGCCGGTGCACACAACAGGTCCCCACCCGGATATGTCTGTCTCTGCCATGATGTTTGGATGGAAAATTAAGATGGTGAGTGAGAGAAGAGGGTGGGAGGAGAGAGAATGAGCAAAGAGGTGCGAAGGAGACCGATTACAGAGGAGAATGGAGACAGACAGAGATATAAAGGGGTAAAAATAAAAAAGGAAAAAGAGAAAAGCGGAGGAAATGGAGAAGAGAAGAAAAAGGGGAGGGAGGAGTTTGGAAAACACACTTCATTACAATCTCTCTTGCTGCAATTATGCTATTTACACAGCAACAATGGAGGGACGGCCTCTGTGGAGCATCTTCTCATTAACGACAGGACCGTAGAAACAGGGGGGGTGGGGGGTGGAGGTGTTGTCTCTGTCGCAGCCCAGTACGAAGCAGAACCCCGTACGGACTGAATGGCATTTCACGCCTGCTAAATCCATCCCCTCGCTGTACACTTCAACCACAGAAGAGTCAGCTCTGTCTGTCTCTGCCTGAACTTATATAGATATAAAACAGAGAGCTGCCTTTTCATCTTCCTCCCTCTAGGAAGCAATTTGGACTCACAGAGCACACAAGGACATGCAGTAGCTTCGATATGAAAGTGGTAGTGGCTTAGCGGATGAGAGCCACATCAGCAGAGCGGGGAGTAATTCGTGCAAGTGGATACTACCCACTGTGGCCTCATCTTCAGTCCCCTCCCATACATTTTTATCTAGTCCACTGTGAATATTTTTTGTATTTTTCACACCTGTAAAAATCTCTGATGGCAGAAAACAACTGCAGACCTGTCACATTCAGTGCAGTCAAGGAAGTATTAGGAAAGCGATGCGATTTCTGTTCCGATTTCTGGCTCCGTACTCAGGGCATTACATTTTAAATAAAACAGTGACTGAGGTTAAAGTGCTGACTTTCAGATTTAATTTAAGGATGTTCACATCCATTTTAGGGGAACTGTGTATGATTATAGCTTTTTTTTTTATGCATAAGCCCCAGATTTTTAAAGTGAATATAAACTAAATATAGTCATTATATTTAATGTGTGGTTACAAATCTTGCTCAGTCAATGTGTGCCTGAAGTCTATGACTCGTTATCACCATGAGACATTTGGTATTTCCCTGATGATGCTCTGCCAGGCCCGTGAGGCAGCCATTTTTACGTTTTGCTATTTTGGGGGCTTTTTACCTTCAGTTTGGTCCAACCTGCTCATTTGGATTACCAGGTCTAGACTAATATCACCCTTGTACTTAAAAGCACAAAGTCAGCACTTTAACTTCAGAGCCATTGTATTCAACTCAAGTCTTGAAGTATAAGTCCTTTGCTGACCTGTAGCCGTCGATGCAGCTGGCGTTGATGTAGTCTGAGCCCTCGACACCACGGATGGGCTGCAGGCAGACACGAGTGGACTCAAAAGGCATGATGTTGACCAGGCGGTTCTTGAACTTGTTGCAGGGTAAGTTGGCGCTGATGAAGCGTGACGTGTGGGCTTTGGAGTTGGCCAGTCTCTGTTTATTAAAAGGTGGGAACAAACCAGACAGGACGAGAGAGATGGAGAGAGAAAAAAATGAGTGCCCTGTGACCTGAAGTAAACATACAAAGAAGTCTGAAATTCTTCCCTGACGAGTCTTTATTCAGACAAAGTTTTCTGTCTAGATAAATAAGAAATTCAACAGAAGGAGAGACATCAGAGTCAAGTAGAGACGGCTGCGAGGTATTTTAGATATCGACTGGTATAACTAAGTGCAGTGGACTTGTCTCTCATAGAGTCCCAGAGCCTCCTAGGAGGACTGTAGGCGTGACAGGCTCAGAGCTGGCAGTGGTCAGAGCACAGATGGACAGCACAGGAGTGTGTATGGACAGTCATGGTACTCGGGGAGAATTTGTGTGTGTGTTGTGGCCAGACTGTGTGGGCATGGAGGCTGTGGCCCCCACATACACTGCAATCATTCTCTCACTCTTTCATTCTCTGTCGTTGGCAGAAGTGTAGATGCTATTATCACTTCAAACAGAATGGATCATGGTCATAAGAGGGCTAATGGCAGAGCCGCGCTGGGAGGAAAGTGTGTAATAACATCACAGCTGATGGCTATTGACAGAAGGTGTGCGTGTGATTGCAAGTCACCTTGAACACCAGCTGTGTGTATGTGTGAGCGTCAGTCATTTTGTCATTCTCCACGCGGAGGTGTGTTCATGTGTTTGTGTTTCTGTGTTTATGTGTGTTTGTCCTGGTCTGCCTGTCCCTGAAACATGTGTTTGTGTTTGTGTTTGTACTCGTGCTACTACGCTCGCTGCTGTGACGCCTCAGCACCAGTCTGACCAATACAAATTTCTGTGCTTTAGCTTATTTGATTGAATTAATTATTTCCGACACTGAAATGAAGGGGCACTTAAACGTCAGAAGGTTCGCTTCTTTAGTCTGTTGCACTTTGGCAAACTTAGATAATGTAAGAGAAATAAGCCTGGTGCTTGCAGATCAGGGTGGAGTGAGATACGCATGCAGAATAGTAACATTATTTTTTCAATTACTGTTAATCATTAAGTAAAAGCTAACATCATTTCCTGTACAGTGTCAGCCCTGTGTACTATCCAGTAAACTATAAATTAGAAAAAGCTGTTCTAAAATGTCTTTTGCTAAGTTAAATGCTTCATTACATGCTGTAGGAGTCAAGGACAACCCAAGTTTATTTTTTACACTGAATAAGTAATCAAATAGAGCCTTGAGTAATTCTTGTCTGAGGAGTTTGTGCATCAGTCACCTTGAACTCCAGCTCCATGGCAGTAACTGTCTCGCCGGGCGGGGGCTGGGTGAGTTTCTGGATGTGGGCGTACAGGTTGCGGGCCAGCACCTCAGTGTTGCCACAGGTGGCAGCCTCCAGCAGGGCTTCGTGGATGAAAATGTACTGATCTTCGGTCTGGACCATGTAGTTCCTCTGGGCACGCATGCACGTCACGTGGCCGTAGATGTCTACGGACTTCTCATGCTTCATACGCTCAAGCATGGCATCGATCACGATGAAGCAGCCAGTCCTACCCACGCCCGCACTGATGGAGAGAGACAGAGAGCGAGGAGAGGTAAATCATTTTATGTTTCACTGTATATAACAGATACTTATATCATTCACACAACTGTAATAAGTTAATGTATAGGTCACTAGAATGTATCATATAGGCTACAAATGAGTTCTGTATTATAAGGTGTCACTATTTAAATGAGAACGTTAATAATAATAAAGTTAATTTCTCTAGCCAGCCCCTTTTGCCGTGTATACACTTATTATGACATACAAACTGTATGTGTGTCTATCCAAATGTGACTATTCAGTGCAGAAATCAGAAATATGTCAGAATGCATTTAGAATAGTATTGTAGTGTAAGGTAAGCTTCCCGGTCTTATCATGTTCTCTCTCCGTGCTTGACAGCTGAAAACTGGACATTATGCTTTCCAGGTGAGCTGATTTACACCCTGCAGCACAAGAGCTGGACCATAATGAAATTGCTGCTGTAGAATGTGCAGAAAATTTGACACTGTAAAAGCATCCTGAGAGGCCTGATGACTGGCTGGAAAATACAAAACACAGAATAACTGAGCCCAAATGAAGGAGGATGAAAAAAGATGACCCAAAAAATAATATTTGAACATCTCTGTTGCACATGGTGTCATTTACAATGCACTTGTAACACCCTTTGATATAACACACCTCTGCCCTCTGATGTGACACTGTCAGCCATAAAAATCATTAAAAGGAAAATGATCACGTCATAAAATAATGATGTAATGATTTATAATAATAAAGTATTGGTTTCAACTCTAATACTGACAGTATAGCTAATTTCATAATGATATTCTCTACAAATGATATTTTCATGTTATTTCAGTATTAATGCATTAAATATAATGTTGGATTAACACATTTTGTTTTTCAGGACATTGAAGGATGTTTTTGAGTTGATGTCACTCCGTCAATTAAACACGACATAAAAAAACAACATGAAATATAAATCAAGCAATTACTTGTATACAACTGTCTAAAGAAAGAAGAAAAGAACCAGTTCATTTCCGTGGGCACCCACCTGCAGTGGACCACCATGGGCCCTGCATCTGGAGGATTGCAGGACTTTACCCGCCGTAGGAAGGCCAGGATGGGGGTGGGGTACTCTGGCACCCCATGATCTGGCCAGGCCATGAACTGGAACTGTCTCACCTCTCTCTTCTCACTAGAGCCATTCTACAGGAGAGTGAGAGGCAGAGAGGTGTAAGCTTGAGCATAGTGGGATGTTCTGACATTGTGAAATGTAACTGGTTGCCTTTAAAAAAAAAAAGAAATTTGTCATGCTGGGAACAAATGTTTTGAACAGGTAAAGGTCACACTATTTGATGAAAGGGAGCTGAAATTCTACAGTTAAAATGCAATGATGTGATTTAATTGTCAGAAATGTAGCTATTTTAAGCAAAGGTCGCGATTGGGCTCATAACTTTGATAGCAGCACATAGTGTGCTCTACTTTCTCGGCTGTGATCACTCTGAAAGTGTAGGTGCAGATAATATGTATAATTTTGGAATTCAGCAGAAACAGTTTCTTGGCATTGTCACCATTCCTTATTGAAACCAAGTAACTTTCTCCAGCTAGAGACTTGCATTTAATTGGGAATTATAACAATGTTAGAAATTATAAGTAAGTAATGGAAGAGGAGAAGTAAAAGGACAGAGTATCACTCACATCACCCAGCACTTAAGTATATGAATCAATGTGAAAAAAATGAAATCTTTCATTGCCTTTTAGAGAACAAGAGACAAATTTTGGACGTTAAAAACCAATTACAGCGGTGAAAAAACGATTCCAGCTGTAATAGCCTTTATCGGTCTTCAGGAAAAATAAGAAATTACATTTTAAAATATGACCCCATTAATGATGAACAGCAATTACCTGCTGGGAACATGTCCTTCATGAGCATGCCTCGCTATATGGTTAACTGCAAAATAAGAAGGCAGCACTGTACCTTGTAGAGGGCGAAGGTACGGACGCTGTAAGTGGCCAACTCCACGGTGTCAAGCATGGTGACCTGGATCATCCCATAGGTCTCTGTTCCTCGCGATGGCCAGTACTGGTCACACTTCACCTGGCAGGGAGAGAGAGAGAGAGAGACAGAGAGAGAGAGAGGGCGTACTGTCAGGAGTGAACTGCCTCTTACATCCACCGTGAGGCCAGTGAGAGGCTTGTAGGATCACACTGATTAACAAGGAGGGAACATTAGAGGGGTCAGATCAAAGGCTTTGTCCACTGTCTAATTAAAAACTGAAGACTCAGAGTCAGCTGCTGTATCTCCTAAAAAATGAGCACCAGTGAATCTGGCAGATGCATGTGCATCCATGTGTGTCTGCATCTGAAACGGGCTTCAAAAGGGCATTAAAAAGCCCACTTTGTCTTTTACCAGCCTGTGATCATTTTCAATTAGCTAATTGTCAGGTAGTTCGCAGCCCTTTGTCATGTATGCTTTTGGTGCATTTGTAATGATTGGGTGCTGCAATGTGGAGGGAGATGTGTCTAAAAGCCTGTTCTGGCCTGCTGTGAATGGACAGCAGGTTCAGCCACCTGGCTCCATATGTGCAGCGAACAAACTTAACCGTGGATGAGGCTGAAGATCCTTCGAACATTGCCACAGAGAGGTTTTGCTTCACTCCATGGATATATGAAAATGCCAGACTGGCCTTTGACACAATTTTCTCATCACTCCTTGTGCTTTGCAAGGCTTATTTGGCATTAGATTGGAACAAAGACGGACTTTGACAGTCCTCTTCATCACTGAGATATCTACATGAACCCTTCTGCACCAGATTGATGAAACGCACTGCTGGCTGTCATTGGCGTTTGGCTCTGCTTTTCAAACAGCAATAGTAAGGTGTCTGCTCCGGAAACATTGCTGAACACCGCCTAAACCACTTGTGAATAATTTACAGTCAAAAATAGGCCATACAGTTACACAATTGTGCTTCATGTGATTTTTACACCTAATTTAATAGCTGTTCACAGGGTCTGCGTGTTTGGGGTGATGAGTCACATCATTATTTAAACACTGCATAACCAGCTGAGCTTTCTTAAAGCTTCTGGGTTCAGCAAAATCTCAGAGAATGTTTTCGAGACTGAAACAGCAAAACCTGAAAAGCTTACAACATGTAGTTTGACTCTGTGAGGCAGGTTAAGTCCCTAACAATTGTCTTCCAAACGACGTGTCTTCAATCAGTCAAAGGCACTCTGAACAACAGCATCAGCTAAAAATTTTTTTTAAAACGAAACATTTTAAAAGTATGTAGGGAAAATTAGTCATCTCAGATAAGCAAGAAAATGCTGCTATACTTTCATTTTCCATATAGAAACTGAACAAATGCAGGCACTGTTCTAATGTCAGAATTTCTGGGACTAGGACTTCTTGCTGCTATTGATTTGGATAACATGAGAGGAAGAGATGTGATGCGGGTAAGCTAATCATATTGATACTGCAGTGCCGAGCTGACATTTGGAAGCACCTTGGCTGTCTCAGCGAGCTGGTACAAATCGACAAACAAAAAGAGCTAAAATTCACCCCCTCACATTTCACCTCCCCTGGTGACAGCTCCCATTCAGAGGCAGAGGCAGACCTTGCAGGAGAAACTCAATTGAGTGATAGGGAACCGCTTGCAGTATAAACATATGGATTAGCAGTCACCACTGTAATGAATATCTCTGTGCTGTCTGAGGTTGGGTGGCATATTCTTCCTCGCAAGCAAACACACACACACACACACACACACACACACACACACACACACACCGCAGGTTTCACTATCATCTGCTTCTGCTTTGAACCTTGCTTCTCATATGTCGTCACCTGGCCTTTTGCAGAGGACACAGACCCCTTATCTAGACAGACACACACAGACACACACACACACACACACAGAGACACACACACACGAGTAATACTTCTGGTCTCATTTCAAGTTCTGACCTTTTAGGGTTTTACTAACTGGTAATGATAGTGAGAGAGGAAACTGAAATTTGCCTGCTGCCGGATCTCATCATATTTGTCAAGCTCCTGCTCTGTTTGGCATAAGACATGGGTTGGGCCGGGTGGTGGGAGGTTGACTCACACACCATATGTGTATGTCTGTGTGCGTATGTGAGAGAGAAAGACACAAATAGAGGATGTGTATTTATGTAAAGGGACTGGACAAAATAACAGAAATCCCTGAAAATGTAGCAGCACCACGTGTCTAATCAGGGGTACAGGCAGTTTTCTGTGATGTTTTCTAATTATCTTATTAAATGTCTATTCATTATCAACTTGCAAACATTGTTTGTTTGATGCAATTTGCAGCCTGATAGGATTTTTCAGGACTGCTCCACTTATTAAATAAAGTCATTTTCAATGCAGTGGCAAATTTAATAAATTCCATTCACTGTTTGCTGCCTCATATTGCACTGGAAAGAGTTATTTAAAAATTGTGACAGACATTTATATCACATACGTAATCCTAATTGTCATTTAACTAAACATTTACTTTGTATAGTGGAGGTGGTAATTGGGATTTATACATACAATCTTTTATTAATACACAGTTAACACATTCATTTACACTATATGGCAAATTCTATCAACAGTATAAATGTCAACATGCAACTAAAAACTGTTTTTAGGGTGTTAAGACAGGAGTTAGTCACCCCCTCCTGGTTTGGAAATCAAACTCCAAAGCTTTGATGATGTAAAACTAAAGAGCGGCTGTTTCATTTCAGGTTCCTTATGTTGTGAGATCTCCATTATTTTGTTCCTATGTACAGTATACAGTATATATGTGGCTGTGACTCTGGGATCAAAGCATGGGAGCATGGTCATCTGTCACAGAGCTGTGAACCTGCCACTCTGACACACTAAATATTCAGAGAGGTATTTGAGAGGATGCGTTTATTCTTGCTGAGATTGACTGAAAGTGTCATGAAAGTCATCTCATCAAACATAACCGCACTGCAGGTATTCTCCGAGGTACAAATAAATGAGCTCTGCTCCAAAAAGACATGGTGCGCTCATAATTTGGCTAAATGATGGATATCACTGACAGATCAAAATTAAAACAGATCATAGTGTTTTGACAGATGGCAAGTAATTTAAATCTTTACTTAACAAAGAGTTGCTTTTTTGCATACTCACTGTGGATGAATTGAGCTTCAGGCAATGACCCCCCCCCCCCCAAAAAAAAAAAAAAATCAATGCGTATGATTTTGGAAATGAACTCTTTCATTTACAATCCCTGTTACTTCCAGTTCTTATTTTGGGGACTCTTTCATTAAGGCACCGTATGCACACACTAATAATGCACCACATACTGGCAAGGCTCCACGCTGGTTTATTTCCTCCAAGGATTTCATGAGCATGATTTTGTGATGGTAATTAAATAAACCCATCCCAATTTTGAATCTCAAGTTTCCCATGTGCTCCTTTTTTTTGCTTTTATTAGCTTGAATGTATTTTTAGGAGCCCACGGGTGTTGTTCGGTGACAATCCTCTTAACTCTTCAACTTCAGAGTTTTCATTATAGCACCGTGGCTTTCGAGAGCCAAATTCAGAAAGTGCATACACAAATGAGACGCTCTATGTCTATAAAACCTTGGCATGGTGTTACAAAATTAAATATGTGGCAATCAAGTATTGAGCTCTCTAAGCAATTTCTAAATAATGAACAAAAGAGAATTCACATTATTATGAATCTCTAAATATAACTACACTGTACATGTTCATAATTAACCGAAAAACGTACCTTGCTTTCAGTAAAGGGTATGCGTATGTTGTCATTATATGCAAAGTTACCATGGCAACTCAACCATAAGCGGCAAACAAACAGTGGGAGGGAAAATGGGAGACGGTAAAGAGCTATTGTGCAATTTTACTTCACAAACAGATTTAGAAGGAATTCATGCAGAAATTTTTAGAGATTGCTGAAGACTTGATAGAAGAGAAGCAACATGAAGCGATACTGTCCACAGACAACCAAAATATCCTTTGAAGTCCTTGTGACTTTGATCAGGCTGACAAATCCTGCTTTAAAGTAGGACTGGGGGTCTATATGCCTTCAGGCTTTGTTGGGTGTAACGTTACTTCCCTGCCGTCGAGCTACATAAATATATACATATGTATGTCAGGGAACTCAACTTCTGGCCGCATTTCAACTTTGCACATTTCACATTTGAAAATCTGTCTAATATGCCATAGTCCTGTCAAATTCAATGGCCCTAAAATTTACAAGATAGTAACTTGTTTTCCCCCTAATATTGCAGCTCTCCCCATCTGTAGCAGCCTCCTGTTGGCTGATAGGTAGTGCTAAAGGTTGTTGTATCACATAAAAAAGTGACATCAATTCTCCTCTATTCTTCCATTATATGCTGCAACCAAATGTGTTTCGATGACATTTCACAACAGGAAAATGTGTTTCTGGTTTCTTTCTTTACTAGATAAACACTAAAACATTATGAAGTAATCATTTTTATTCATATGGTGTTTATGATTGATAAATTATGTAATTAAATCTTTGAGTATGCACACATCAATAAATCAATGCATCATAATTAACTGTTAAGGAATGAGGTCACTGACTGATTGCTTTACTTTACAGTGTTTTATAGTAAATCAGTGTCTCTCCTTACCCGTGACTTCTCCTCCAGTCTAGTCATCATGACGATGGTGTTGGATCTTTGCTCCCACACCATCCTCCAGAAGTCGCTTAGTGTCTCTGGCAGAGGCCCCTGTGTGGCGATGTAGGCATTCTGCTTCCTGTAGCCATCAATGTAGTTGGCGTTGATGTAGTCGCTGCCTGGAACAGCTGTAACAAGGAGCAGCGAACATTGTTATGGTTATTTGATCTAACAATATTGCTCGGTCACAGAGATTAAATTAAGATCAGAATCATTAATAAAAATGAATGATACATTTATGGAGATTTCTTCTTACTGATATTGAGCACTTTGATACAGATTGTACAAAGACAATCTACCTCTATCAATCACCTATGATGCATGGTACTTTCAAATGAACATAACATACTGTATCAAAGAAAAACAGTTACATGGGCTTTGTGGATAAAAACTCAGATTTTCTAAAGTAGCAGCTGCAGGCAAACAAAATGTCCCTGGTACTGATGAAGCAGGCCTCAAGCAGTGGCAGCCTCTGTCAATGGCTATCTGAAAGGTTAAGTGGTTACATGAGCTCTTACCATCAACAGAGGTGAGCACCACTCTTGAGTGGTCATAGGCGATGACGTTTGCATAGCGATTCTTTGGCTTGTTGACTTCCATGTTGGAGTTCTCCCAGGTAAACTGCTGGCCTGGATCAATGGACTGTGTGAGAGGGCAGGGATGAAAAGAGAGGGGGCAAATAACAGAAAGACGGAGTGAGAACAATTATAAGAGAGTGGACACAGAGCCAAGAAAAGCAAAGAGGAAAATAATAAAAACACAAAGGGAAGCTCTTGAGTGCAACATTGGTAAGAGGATAGGGCAAAATTACACTGCTGTCTGCTGAAACCCATTCTGCAGCAGTATAGTATGGACAACAAAGCCTTTAAATGGAACATACACCCACATCATGTCACTTGAAAAGCCACAGTGGAGTGCTACAGGTTAGCGGTTTTATATTGTGTGGGACACTGTGCAGTCTGAGGCTATCAGTTAACAAAGCGCCATATTGCAGGCTACACTGCAACTGCTGTCAGTGCATTAACGGGTTAATCATTTGCATGACATTTGGGACTTGAATGCTAACGAAGCAGAAATATGAAGGCACTTGTTTCACTCAAATCATCATCATTGATTGAGCCAAGAGAGGCAACATATTTCTCCAGTTTCTAAATCCAACATGATGAGAATGAATTGGTTTGAGCTGTTGAATAAGTCTTTTGCTGAATCTTGCAGGCAAACACAAACACTCATCCTCTCCCTTTAGGATGGTCCTATTGAATTACCAAATTCTTAGAAGTCACATGCATGACTGCTTCTTGTAACGAAGCAGATTCCTCTCATTCTCTGTCCTCCTTTCTTTTCACATCTTCTATTTCTGTTGCCTTTTCCTATCTCGTATTTTTGTTTCACCCCTTCGCTTATATCTTCTTTCTGTTTCTAGCCCTTTCCATCTTACATCATTTGTCTCCCGGGCTGAGACGACAGTAGACTGCATACATATTGATCTAGGGAGATATGTGACGGCCTCCCATCCCTTGGCTCAATAATGTCACAGAGTCTCTTGTTATTCTGTATCGATCCCTCTAAGCTCACACCGGAACCATGTCCACTAATTCCCCGGACCTTTCGCCTCCCAAATCCAGCAGGACTCAGAGCGACACCTTCGAAATTCCTTCACTTACTTACTGTGGCTGTAACGCTAATTTACTTATTAGAGGTTATTTCATGTCAAAACTTGACAGCTCAAACATAATGATAATTATTACTGGATAAAGGATGAAATAGAGGGTGCAAGGTGAGGCCCAGAGAGAACACTGGGCCATTAAATGATAAAACAGCAACACAACAAGTGTTGTACTAAGCCACACATGAGGAAGGTGTGGTTTGTCCTACTGTAACTATCAAGATGTTGTACAGCAAATTGGCCTTCAGTACTGTCCTACAACAACAATAACTTTCTAGCTCCCGCTATGTCTTCCTACGGAGGAAAGTGACACCCACATAGGTATAAATATGGTATAAGTCTGAACAAGTTATTTTAGACCAGACTATTTTAGTGCACATGGTATTTGATTTTGAACAAGATGAATGAAAATTGTGGATTTCTTATATGCAAGAAACTTTTACTGCAGCTCCAAATTGTTGAGCGCTGAGAGTCATGTGGGTATAGGCCTATTGCTGCTGATGAGCTCAGCACTGCCAATTTCTCTGTCCATGCCTGCCAGTATGAAGAGAAAGATTTCATTTGCAGTCAAAACATGTCATATCCATTTGAGAGCTCATTGAACACAGCAGGCCCACTACACAAACAAGTAAGGTAGAGATGGTAGAAAGAGGTGAGAAGCAAACGCCGAAGGTATTCTCGCTGACACACTGGAAATGCTTTCAAATGAACATAATGATAGTGCTATGACGACTGCAGCGTGATATTGCATCCCACGTTAAAAAAACTGTCAGGGGTGCTGCAGTATGCCTGATTGACAAATTCTGCTCATTACCCAGTGTTCTCATTGCTCAGTGTGATGCGGACTGGCGTTGGTGGTAAAGGAAGTGTCAGGCCGCCTAAAACATCAGGGAGAGGAAGTGGTGAAGCCTCTACAATTTCTGTGCCTTTGGGGTAAGGCACAACGGGAGCAGCCGGCGAACGTGACTGTGACAAAGCGCCATGAGCTCTGCCACAGCGCCTCAGCTGGCACAGAGACGGGCGGCCATCTGCCGGGCATGGAGGGGGTCTTCCCTGGCTTGGAATGACTGGTGCAGGGGGGGAATGGGGCTGGGCTGGTTGCCTGCAGTCATACAAGCCACTTCTCTGGCTTGATTCGTTTACACTAACTCAACAGGCCGGGAGGGCAATGTGCTGGAGAGGCACAACACAAGAAAGCACTTAATTGAGTGCAGATTTTTACCAAGGCCTAATTATCTCCCCAGTTAGCTGTTAATTTCACAGTAAACCACATCAAAAATCTATTACAATTACATACGCTATTATAAAATGTGTAACTCTGTTTACAAACATTTAATGTATATTCCGTCAAGCATTATAATGGCCCTTCTCACAGACTTCATACAAGACTATTCTTTTTATGTGTTTTATTCTATCCTCATTAATGGAAATGGGGTGGACAAAATATTCCCATTAGTATAAGACCAGACATTTCAACAGCTCAACAAATTACAGCCTCAACAATGACCTCTCTCTAACAATTTCAAGAAAAACTGATAATCTTCTTAAAGGTGGGATTTATGCATGACTGTTCTATTAGAAGACATTAGATGGGAGTACTACAACTGAGAAGAAAATGTATGTAATCATGTATGAAATCTGAATGCATAAGGCCTTAATCATGTGAGACAAAATGCCCAAACATGGTTGACTAATAAAATGAAGCACCACATACGGTTCTAAATGTTTTTTTTTTTTATGTGGGGAACACTGCTGGGTAGATAATAGAACAGTTATATAAGCTTTCAAATAGATGTTATTTTCACAGTAAACACTGGACAGGGCAGATAACAGAGCAGTTATAAATGTTGGCTAAAGTTTGGACTCGTGGTGATGCTTGGGGAAAGGTCATGAGGTCATCAAAATAAATTTGCTGTTTCTCTCTGGAGTGTGAAATTGCACTGCAAATTTCATGCTGGAGCAACGTATCGTATGCTGGTCACAGACAGACAGTGGCAATCACATAACCTTTTAGGTCACAGCGAATGTAAAAAAGATCTACAATCACTCCGACAGCCTAGTTGGATCCATCGATGTGAGGAATAGAGCTGATTAGACAAAACCAATCGAACAATCAGAACAAATAAATAAAAGACAGCTCTTGTTTTTCTGCATTCAAGGATGCCTCTTCTCTTCATCTGGCCTTGCTTAGTCCCAAAACCAACTTTGTGCCACTTTAAATGCAAATTTGCTCCTTTTTTTTTTTTTTTTATTTAAGGAAGAACACTGACACGAGATAATCCCTTGCAGAGTTGCATCGGAGAGACCGCTTGCAAAATAACATTCTTCAGGGAAACATCAAGACGCACACAGATTGCTTTAGCAACTCGCCACCTGCTAGCTTTTTGAAAAAGCATCTCGCAGCATTTAATGTAAGTGTTGGTTTCCTGGTGGGATTGGTAATAGAGCTGTAAAAATGACTGAAGAACGTCTGTGAAAGAAGTCTTCCATAATCCATTAGAATTCATGCATATGGGATCAAAGAGACATAAACACCAAACTTCCTCGTAGACATGATAACAAAAAAAAAAAACCCACATTTGTATGCTTGAAAGACGCAGAGACACTGATACACTATTAGTGCATGGCTCTTACCTCATACTCCTGGGAAAAGCGGAGGCCGTCGTTGGCCTTCAGTCGCTCAATGTGGTCAGCCAGGTCGACGACAGGAATGGGCGGGTGCTCCCTCATCCCTGGGAGAGGAAGAGGAGGAGGAAGAAGAGGGAAGAAGACAAAGACAAGAGTGAGACCTGGCTGTTCCTACATGATACATGCACATCGACTTGCACAAACACTGGTTGGACCACAGGGTGAGTGAGGCTGCCAGTGGGACCATGAGGTGGCTGTGTAACGGTGAGGAGAGTGCACTTTGTTCAACAATGCATGAAGAGAGGGAGAAAAGAGAGAAGAGAGAGAGAGAGGGAGAGAGAGAGAGAGAGCGAGGGAGCGCGCAAGTTGAAACAGGCTGGTGACATTTGGTGATATCGTCATGCTAAGTGAGGAGGACAGAGGTGGGGCTGGCTCGGCGATGCACATGAGTGACTGGGTGAGCATGCTCCTGGAAGGAAGCAGGAGGCAGACATCTCTCTGACTCCACAACGCTCAATTGGTGGCAGAGGTGGGATCAGAGCAAGAACCCACAAGTCTCTACAAATGAGTCACACTGTCACTTCCCAGAGAGGAAAAAACTGACTGGTCACCAGCCAAAACTCATTTCTTTGAAAATCTCTTTCCCTACAATAGACTATCTCTCGGCCCAGCCTGGAGCGCTTGGGCTGGATTAATTTCAAACAACCCCCCTGCCGCTCTCCAGATTTCTCATCGCTGGGTTATTGGATGATTTATTGCTAATCTACCGACACAAATTCCCCCTGTGCCTCTGAACTTGGCAAGGCTCTGTGCTTAAACGGATTGCTTGGAACTTGCCCTATGTGTTAAAAGTTAACTGTATGCCACGCATGACAACGCTATAAAGTTATACATGGAGCATCATTAACCTAACATATAGCCTTGAAGTCACACAGAGATCAGAGAGACACTTTCAAATGCTATAGATATAAACATTAGCGCCTTTGGCTGAGCGAACCTATAAGGTCATGGGTTACGCTTTCAGATGAATGACTGCTGCAAGCTCATTATTGCTGCAATGCTAATGGATAATGCCTGGTAACTATGGCCACTGCACAAAATGAGACCTGACCAATTATACTAATTTAATACTATCACACAGGGGGACCTATAACCACATTAACGTACGTGTTTGCGTGTGTGCTGCCAGGTCTTTTATAGCCATGTTGTTGGTTAAATGGAGAGTGAAGTCATAGATACCAACTAATGTAGAGCAAGTGTAACTGTCCGCACTGCTAAACTATCCATGAAAACATCTAGCCCTCTGCTTCCGCACCAAAAAAGGTGTGGGAAGTTCACAGCCTAGAGAGGACATTGCTGCATCCTTGGAGCGCCAGAGGCTTTAAGCTTGTGGGCTTGTGATGTCTGTCAGGATTGCAACAAGGGAATGGGATCAGGAGCGAGTGAAAGAGGAAGAGAGACTGCACGTGTGGGAAATACACAGTAGGTGAGAGAGCAGACTAACTTGGAGTGTTGGGGCAGCGATGAGTGCTGGGACCTGTGGAGAGAGGAGAGTGAAGGAGGGAGGAAGAAGAACACTCAATCAATGGAGATGGCTCAGGATCAGACCAGGGCCAAACAGTATCTGCAAATAACCTTTCAGGCTAGTTGGAGTGTGCAGCTGTTGGTGTTTGCCCTCTCAGGACAATTCAAGTAGTGTGCTTTAGGCGGTTAAACAGGAGAGCATACAAAGCTTGACTTTAAAATACTCCTGTGACTGCTCGGTGTAAACAGGAGTACTGCATAAAGGGCATCAGATGTTTTATCTGATGCGTTGAAGGAAATCTTATTACAACTTGGGTGTTATTTGAATATTTTTGGCTGTCACTTTGGTTATCGGTTATGATAAAATTATTAAACCCATAGTTATTACTGAGATGTGGGAACATGAAATGTGAGTGGTCAGACAGACGGTAAACAAGCCAACATTTTTTGCCAGATGATCCTAAACTACTTTATTCAGGGGGAAAAATAAAAGTGAGTGCATCCGAAATTTTGTTAACATCGTAATGCACGGTGCCTGATTGGTCATATTTTGGATTTAAACCCTATGCCAAAAGGTAACCTGAAGACTGAGGCGATCTGCAAACTCTCACACCTTACATCTAATGAAGGTGGCAACATCTGGAGGTAACACCTCTAATCTACACATATTGAGCTGACACATGTCTTTTCTTATAAATGTCTGGTGTAACCAGCAATACTGGTATTGAGACATGAGTTCATTACCCGATGGGAAACTTTCCACACTGTGTCATCCCTGATCAACAGTAATTATGATTGGTCAAGTTGAACCAGGAAATGAGTCTATAAACTTTGATGGATATTTTCAACTCTAAGTTTGTGTGACTGTTTCCTCTTTCAAATAATTTAATTAACCTGAAGAGTTTCACTGTCTGACTGCCTGAATTTCTTTGCTCCATCGGACTTGGTAAGTACAATCTTATTATCACAGAAAAAAACAATGCCAATGCCCAAACTACAACCCAGGTTGCATGAGACCAGAACTCCCCTTTAAAATGTTCCTCTGTGACTACTTTCAGCAAATTGCACTTGGCTCTAAATGGCACTACATGCTTTATCAGAAGTGCTTAACACAAGTTATCTCGGTTAAGTATTTGCAAGTAGCACCTGAACCAGAACTAGTATCTGGCAAGGATAAACCAGGTCATTTACTCACAGAACCACACAACAATCAGAATCAGAGCAGGAATGTTCACCTGCTGTGGGCGAATCAAAGAGAGAAGGAACAAGAGACAGAGGAATGGGCTGTTCAATATTCACTCAGCTCAGCCTTGGAGTCTCACACGTGATTTTTGATAATCACCACTCTTGAAGCAAAACAGCGAGGTGGAAAGGGAGAGAAAGAAAGAGATAAATGTTGACGTACAAAGAGAGAGTGAGGATAGTGGGAGAGAGAGAGATAGAGAGAGAGACGGAGTGGGAGAGAGAGAGGGGGAGAGAGAGAGAGAGAGAGAGAGAGAGATTACCCTACAGGGGAAATGGAAGACAAAAGAGGAAAGAGGTGGAGTGGGAGGATGGAAGAACAGGGCTCTGTTAGAGCAGCAGCACTGCTTAATTCCTCTGCAGGGGTTCAAAGGGGCTGTGTGTGTGCATGTGTGTGTACTGCGAATGGGATCTTTAATAACCCGTGAGAAGGGATACACACACACACACACACACACACGCACACACACAGAGAAAACACACAGAAACACAGAAGTGCACAAATGCGCGTGCACTGGGGTTGACATTTTCTCTCAGCTCCATTGTTCCCTCTGCCTGGCTCACCTTGACATCAGAGGCAGCAGGACTCATTACCAGCTGGGTGGAATGAAAGGATCTCATGGAGGGAGGAGGAGCGAGGACCGAGGGAGGAGGGAGGAGATCAGGAGGAAAAAGGAAGGAGGCTGACGCTGAGGCGAGCACCCTGACAAACCCTCCCCCCTCAAAACCCACCACACTTCACTACTGTGCGTGGATGGAATCTGAATTCACTCAGCCTAAGTCCACTCACACTGACCAGTGCCGGGTATGATGGCGAACATGATTTGTTTATTTTCTCTCATCGACCAATTTTTCTTTTTTTTTGCGAACTGGTCAGATTTTTAGCCCGAGGATAAATAACAAAATGAGGCAGGACACATGAATTTCACACTGCAACATCTGTTACAAGGCACTAACAAACAAGAGATCCATCAAAAGAAAGAGGAAGGCAGGTGTTCATTGCAAAAGTAGATTGCTTCTGGAAAGGCTGTTTAGAGTTTAGATGAAAAAAAAATCATTCCAAAATGAAATATCCACAATTTAGGAAAGAAATCCGGAAGTTGAGATATATTAAGGAACACTATGATAAGTCTGAGTCACCTTTAGATATTTTCTCTCAGTGTTGAAGATAGAATCATCTGTGTTTTTAAATTACTGACTGATGAATTTCACAAAGGGTTTTTATTTTGGAAGCCACAGTCACAGAGGCAGAATATACTTTTTACTCATTTTCATGAAAGAAACATTGGCTGAACCTGCAAGACTGATTAAAATTCACACACTTAGGATAGCGGACAGTCATGCATTTCAACAAACTTACCCAACACAACAAACTTTCCTTAGTTTACCACTAAACAGGTGCATGAGAGCAAGAGGAAGTTGGAGTTCACATAAAATCAGAGATACTACCTCCGCCAAGGACGTTATGTTTTCACCCATGTCTGTTTGTTTGTTGGCTCGTCTGTTTGTTTGTTTGTCAGCAGGATTATTTAACAAGTACTGAACTGACCAAACTTGGTGGTGGGATGGGGCAGGGGACAGGAAGGAACCCATTACATTTTGGTGTGGATCTGGTTAAAGGGGCTGATCTAGGATGTTTTTTTTTTTTATCACTTTCCTTAACATTGTGTGATTGGGTATTTTTTTACACTTTTGTCAATTTCTCAGGAAATGTTTGTATCTTGATGTAAAAAATCAGATGTATTTATGGTGCTGAGATCCATGATCTTGTACTATTTGGTGCAGATACACATAATAATCCAGATCTGGTGGAAGAAAGTGCTGAATCCGCGTTACACAGGGAGTTGTACTTATTATTAATAGTAAGTAACAGTGCATATGGCACCGGCAGCATTTAGGACTGTTTACATCAGTATTTCATTCAACATGCAACTAACAGAATTACACAATAACAATAGCAGTTGCGACACAGCAATGAGACAATTCATATAGTTGTAGAGCTGTGTAAACTGTATAATGCTTAAGTCATCATTTCACACAACAGGTAATAAAACCATACAGCTGTCTTGTGGAGGGATTAAAGATGATAAATAAATAAAGCTATACTTGAGAACAAAAGACGTGTGGGAGTGTTTTGGCCTTGGTGGAGGTATGCGCTCTACTGAATGCCAATGTAGTTACCCCCACCAAGGAGGTTATGTTTTCAGCCAGGTCTGTTTGTTGGTTTATTACCTCTTCCAAGGTGATTATGTTTTCACCTGTATTTGTTAATTAGTTTGTCATCAAGGTAACGCAAAACATACTGAACCCATTTGCACCAAACTTGGTGGAGGTATGGGGCATGGGCCAGGGAAGAACTCAATACATTTTGGGGGCCATCGGGTTAAAGGGGCCGATCCAGGATTTTTTTTTTATCAATTTCCTAAGATTGCGAGATAAGACATTTTCTGAAGAGTCCACTTTCAATTTCTCAGGAAATAATGTATGGATCTTGATGTAAAAAATCAGACATGTTTATGGTGTTTACATCTATGTTTTTGTACAGATACGCGCAGACACACATAATAATCCGGACCTGACAGACATGTGTAAGGTTTTTTGGCCTTGGTGGAGGTATGCTCTCTTCTGAGTGCCACACTAGTTGGAAACTCATAATTAATCATAATCAATCATAATGAATAATGTTCATGTAAATATCCGATCATAATTATGACTGGAAACTCTGAAAACTCAATACACAATATATCCGTCTTGACACTTACTAATACGAAGGTGCCTGAAAACCAATGCTTATAACTTTTTAAATTTCTCAGGGGCAGTTGCGGAGGGAAAGCTCAGCAAACTTTGCCATATGTTGCTACATGTAAGGCTGTTAGACTGTTGTGTATTACCTGGGGTCTGGTAGTTGAGTCTTCTCATCTCCACAGGGTCAGAGGAGTTGGCCAGCAGAGAGTCTTTCACCCCACCTGAGTGCTCATCTTTGGGTAGGGGTGACGCCCGTTTCCTGTGGTGGCAGAAACAGACAGCAAAGTGTTTAATCACATCATGCCGAGACCACCTAATTGCTTAATTCAGGTGCGCTAACTTAGCCATTGATTCCTCAAGCTAGCTCCAAGTGACAATGACAGGATGACATAGAATGATACGGTTAGAAAATAAGACATGAAGAAAATGCAAACATCTTCGTCTTTGTGTTGGACACTTGATGAGATTAATGACATAGTTAATGGTTCTCAAAACTAGTTCTGAGGACCAGCAGTTCAAGAGACAGTAGGTACCAGGGCATTACCCCCATTAGTTTGCCAACTGGAGTTTAATGTGTTTGAAGAAACACCATCATTTTCCCGGAGTGGGTAAGTTGGGTTTGTTTGCTGCTGGATAGGTGACAGCTGCTGTGTGGGTATGTGTACATGAGAGTGTGTGTTTGTGTGTAGCAAAGATTTAAATGTGTGATTTTTGCTGCTGTGTGTGTGCTAACAACACATTGTGTTTACTGGCTTTCCAGATTGAGAGGAAAACAGGCGGATGCTGTAATTAGCTCATCAGCTGGGTGGCACAACACTGGGTAATTAGACCAGTTCTGCAGCACCTGTGCTGCCAGGCCTGGCCTAGCTGAGTCTAACATAGCACAGAACAGAAGAGCACAGCTCGGACTGGCTCAGCTCAGTCGACCGTAGGTTTGTCCATCAGGTGGAGAGAGGAATAGAAAATGCATTCTGCCTGTATTCTGATGTTCAGACAGCTAGCATCTGTTGACATACACACACAAACAGGCACACAGATGTACGCTTTCCTACCTCTCTCACTTTCACAAATACACACTCACACAGATACAGCTGCAGACTCACAAGCCTTCTGACTGCAAATGGAAATGGGCGGAAGGAAGCATCAGGACGCCCTGTGGAAATTTCACATCTCATTGCACTCCATTTGCAAGTGGTGAGCGTGGGTTTTAGGCAGGAGCAGGGCCTTCTGTTGAAGCCCAGCATGGTGAGAATGCATAAAGCTGGTGGTGCAAACACAGCCTTAACCCGGTCCACCTCTGCCGTTAGGGCTTGGGCCTTACCGCCACCTGTTATCTTATGCTGCAGAGGCTTAAGCTAATGCTAGCAGCGTGACGGCTAATCTATGACAAGCATCTCTTCCTCTCCAGCGGAGAGCTGAGCCAGACTGTATCCGGTTTTCCCAGAGATCACTGCTGAGCTGGGCTGGGGGAAGGGGTGGAAGAGTTGGGCATCTGTGATCTGTTCTCCACACCCCTCATCTCTCCCTCTGACCCAATCAGATGCCAATCTACATGACACTTTAGTGCCGGGCTAAAGTAAACATGGCAGCAATCTCAATGGGGTTATTCATCTCAGGCTCAAAGTGAGGGCTAAGACGTGTGAGAATGTAAGTACACAGAGACTTATACACACACACGCACAGTGTGAGTATGAGTGTGTGTGCAGTACAGGGAGCACTTAATGAGGGTAGAACAGGGCCCTTTGTTGAGACTCCTGCCATGAGGAAGCAGGGAGAGGGGGAAAAAAGGCTAAAAGTGGAGGAATGGGTCTCGGTGGAAAATGTCAGATTAAAAGATGGGAACATTTCTTTTTCAGCAGTTTCCCCGTCTGGCATTTACTTCACAATGGCCCATTCAGCAGCAGGTGACGCCTTGGCATATTCAGATGGGGCCAATCTTGAAGGGGTGCGCTGACACTGGCTGGATAATGAAACACAGCACGGAGACAAACCATGGCAGACAGGACGATCTGAAGAGGAACACTGGCACTAGATGTGGAACATGCACTGGTACACGAATATGACCTGGGGGTCCCTTTAACCCCAGTTAACAAGGCCTGCAGAGTCTGCTGCCTCTCATGTCTTATAAGTCTTGTAAAACTGAACAAATCAAATTAGACACATCAATTTAGAGATGTTTCCTAGTATTTCTATTTGAGTAATTTTTTTTATTTTTTTTGCAATACCAATCGGAGCTGAGAGGTAGCTGACTCTGCAATCCTATAGAGCTGATGAATACCACCAATTTTACAGCACAAATGAAGGGGGCTTGGGTGGTGGGAGATGAAGTTGTGACTGATATAACAGTGACAGTACCCACCTTTCCTGTTTGCTGCATTCACAGAGGGCAAAAAGAAGGGGGTGGGGGGTTAATAGGTAATTGTTACCCATATGGAACTATAACGTCTTTACTCAATGTTATTCTGACTGTGCTATTTTCAGAAGGAAAGAAAAATCTTGTCCTTCCAGAAAGTTAAACCACATCTTGAAGACAGCATTAAAAGTTATCCTAACATTTGCTGGAGACTTTTCGAGAATAACCACATCTTGACACTGCTGGTGTCGGTCTTGGCGAATATGCAGGTAGCAATAATGACCCGAGTTAGAGTGTGATTATTCGTGTGCACATTTACTGCCATTCCACAGTGAAAAGGGCACACAGCCACCTCCCCACAGTCCCTCCTGTCAATCTGTATCTATGTGGAGAAAGGGCTTCCAAACAGAGGATGTGCTACTCAGCAGTGAGCTGTCTCAAGACCTATTATTAACCATTCGCTTTCTAAGTCTGCCAGAGACGGCAGCCACACAGCAGTCTGCAAGACTGTGGCTGGCAGCGTCAAGAATAGGTATGATGGGAAATGGCAAATTTGTAATGGAGCCATCAAGAGAAGATAGGGGGGTAGGACTTCATCAGGAAGAGACCAAGTGAGGTAAATAATGGCTCGTAGGAAATATTTTTAGATATTCTTTTTACAATGTCCGAACCACATTATCATTCTATATCTAGTCAACATGCAAATAATTGTTTAATGCAAAGCTTAAAGAATGGATGGTTGTATTTAGGGCTGCAACTAATGTGGGAATATATGTGTGAAAAGAAGCTTCACATTTTAGAAGCAGGAAGCACCAAATGTTTTGCATGTTTGCTTAATAAATGACTTATTTATCAAAATAACAAACAGGTTTTTGATGGGCTAATTATTTCAGCATTAGTAGTAATATCATTTATCTGCACTTCCACAGCATCCTGCTGGCCTGTGTGTATCCACAGTGTGCTGCACAGGGGCACTTCAAGTGCTTTTAAGAGATATTGACTGAGCTTTTAGTTAAGCCCTCTGTTGCAGCCTTCTGTTTGTTCTGTGAAATGACCAATGGTGCTGGCCATTTCTCACTCCTAACTAAGAGTTTCTGACAGCCGAGCTTTGCTTTTCATTAGGGAGGCAATGTCAGCTGCCATTCCAACTGACACTTCACAGAGTACTGTTAACATCGGCCAACTGGGCCAAAACCTTTTGGGGAGAAATGAGGAATTTCTGAAAGACAAATCAATCCGCCTTTGGTTCCTCTCCAGTTACATTGTATATATTATGGTAAGGTTGTTACAGTTTGGTGTGTGAGCAACCCGGTGCAAGTGGCGGGGGCGGGGGGGGCGGGGGGGGGGGGGTATCTCATTACCATTCCTGATGCAACCAAAAGAAATTTACAATCACAAGTGTCACTGCAGTTCAACCTCAGACAAACACAGTCAAGAGTGACTGAAGAATGACACAGAAAGGCAGCCTCTTACTTCTTAAAGAGCAGGATGGCGATGACGATGATGATGATGAGGACCACGGCCAATACTGGGCCCATGACCCACAGCATTTCGGGTTGCTCCATCCCCTGAGCCATACTTGCTGTGACCTGGACTGGGTCTGAGTAGGGACTGGCTGAAAATGTCATCTGTAAGGGGGAAAAAGATGAGAGCCAAGTCACTTCAGAGCTATAAGATATATGCAAACTTTTCCCTTCTTATGGAGTTTTTAGACTTCCTAAAAAGCCTAATTAAAAACAGCACACACATCATAGAAACGGAAAACAGAGACAGAAACAGAGCTGAAATTGGAGAGAACAACAATATTAGCACGCTGTTAAGGTAAATTCAATATCCAATGTCTATCTTTTAATTGTACATGAAGCATAGGAAGTCTTGGATGATATGTACAAAGTTGTTCGAAATCTACATTTGAATATTTTTCTAGGTGAAGAGTTGCAGTTGCTTATTACCACAACAAAAGCTCAAACAAAACTCAAGGTAACAGATCCCCTTTTTTGGATTATGCTAAGGTTACAGAGATACAAAGATATGGGTCATAAATTTGTTGTGAAAAATACATTCACAGGTGGCAAACAACGGGAGACAAAGTCAGACTAGCTAACAAATTAAATCAAGAGAAAAATGAAAGGAATCATAAAAAAAAAGAAATTACATTTTTTATACACATTCTATTTTAGGTATCTCTTGTAACAATGTTGGAAATAATGAAATGCCAAAAATATAGTTGTATGTTAGCTATGTCTACCTTAATAAGGAAAAAGAATCAAAATATCTTACTGTAAATTTCTTGTTTCTGGCACCTTGAGAACCATGCTAATAAGGCCATGGTTCATGGAAGCAGCTGAACAAGCCATAAAACTATCACCCAAACTCAAAAGACACTTTACCAAAAACAATAACCATCTTGGCTAATGAAGTTATTATTATGTTTCTATTAAAGCGCTGCATCACATTAGAGGAAACTGAGACTGCTGATGACAGAGCAAGTGTGAGACAGGAGGGTGAGAGAGGTAGAGACAGAGAGGCAGGGATTAGTGTGCATGTCCCTTGGCCGCTAAGATAAATGGGGGCACAGGAGAGGACTCATCTCTTCTTCATTAGTGTTCACACCGTGACGGAAGAGAAGGAGGAGGAGGTGACTGTGAGGGTGCGTTTCCACCGTGGCTGTAAATGAGACCCCCCCCCCCCCCCCACTCCTTCGTCTTCAAATAACGGAGGGGAGGGAGGAGGCTGGGGTGTGTGAGTATGTATCCGAGGAATGGGTGCACTAGGTGACGCAGTGTGGCGTTTGAAAAACTGTCTGAAAGAAGAGAGAGTCCAACTACGGGAGAGCAAGGTGACAGATGAGGAAAACAAAGAGGGAGGTGCAAGGCATCTGTCGTTAGAGCTCAGCATGCCTCCTACTGAACGGCGATGGGAGACGCAGGTCGGGGAGAGGAGGAGGGTGTGCGGAGGGGCATGGGTGACAGATCGCAGCCCTCGAAGGGAATTGGGCTCACAGCATGCAGCGGGAGTGGCGGGGCGGCAAGCAGCAGTAATCCGGATCATTAGCCGCACAGCAGCCTGCTCTTCGGCACACAGGCAGATATTAATTGGAAAGATAAGCTTAGATGAGCTCAAAGAGTCCTGTGCTCTGTCATATAGTTGTGTTATCTCTTGTACTCGCGGGCAACTGCCAGTAAAATTTACAGTGTGCGTGTGCGAGTGTTACAGCATGTCTCAATCATGTACATGCAAACCAGCATGCTCTGATATTAGGCGCAGACACAAAATAACTCAAGTGGGAGAGTAAAAAGATTCACATTTGTATACTGAAGCAGAAGTTCACAGCAGAAATATTTTTCATTTGTCTTTTACACACACAGATACACAAATCATGCACATGAGACCAGTTCTCTCCTGATTCGTGTGCCTTAGGGAGGAACATATTATCTAAGAACAAAAAGAAACAACACAGCGGTGGGACGCTGCTGATGTGACAACACCACGAGGCTTCCTGTTCCTTCGAGAGGGCCCAAAGAAGGCTGTAGGATGTGGCCCTGCAGGAAATCATGGGAAAAAGTTTTTTTCTCCTGGTGTAACAAATGACTGCAGCTGTGCTTTCATAGAAGGATAAGGGAGAAAGAGCGAGAGGAGAGGAGCGGGCCCAACAAAAATAGAGGGCTTTTTGTCTGTTGGTCACGGCGAAGTACTGGGATCATCCATCTGAACGGCCCTAACATCTGATAAAAGCTCAGCCACGCAGCTCCTAATGCTCCTGCCCTCGCAGAGCGGGATCACAATGGGGCGATGGTGCAGTGAAGGAATGTGAGAGCCTAAGAATGAGTGAGTCAGAGACAGTGAGAGACATGAAAGTGACTGTATATGTATTTCTCACCCTGAATCACTGTGTATGTATGTGTACAGTAAACACATGGATGCAGGTAAGTAGGGCTTTTGATAACATACCTGGATTCCTTAGGCTCAGAGGCCTATCTTTTATAATTCCTTAATCTTTTAATTTGCCACATACAAAAGATTGAGGTAGCAGGCTTCTCATTTTTAGCCACCTCTGTCTGATGCTTTTGCCAATTAAAATTTCTCAACTTTAGCTAATTAACATTAATTGTGTAAGAAATTTGCATTAAGTGAAGTGTTTTGGTTTTTCTGTGGTTAAGATAGTGGCTGTAATCAGCTGAAGACTGGTAGAGAAAGAAAAACCCCTCTGTCACACACCTCTATGATCAGTAGTGTTTTGCAGAGTGGTGCATTCCCTGGTAAAACAATCTAGTCAATTGCATTACATCAGTATGATAAGTCTGAATCTCCCAGTTAACCGTATCAGCTTATCAGAACTTCAGTATTTGGAGCTTGTAAAAAATAATGCGAGAGTTAAGTAAATAGACCACCTGTTATTCAGTTTGTCGGATACATATTTAATCATCATTTCATATTGTATGCTGATTAGAGCCTTCTCAGTCAACACAAAGTGGTTACTGATGTCAACTGCATCTTTGGTTTTTAGTTATTAAGTTATTTTAAGTTTAAAAATGTTGAGAACGAGATCTAAATAGATTTTATCAGGAGATAGAATTCAGAAAACTAGATCCTGAATTCAAATTTGGTACAGTCTTGTCTCTTTCATAGTGAGAAGAGGAGAAGGGAGAGATAAGTATGTGACTGTGGATGATTGTTAGCACTGCAGATGGGTACTGTTACTGTAATGCAGATACTGTATATACAAGCATTAAGAGTGAATGAATGTAAAAAGTATTTGCTTGTGCTGGTACGTGTGTGTGTGTGTGTCTGTATCTGCCAGCGAGATAGAGAAAATGCGTGATTGTGTGTAAAGACTGTAAACAAATGTGTGCGAGAGCGTGTGTTTGAGCATATGTGGAACATCAGTTTTTCTGAGCCTTTTCTCCAGCTCCTCTGAGCCTCCACAAGTGTGCGTGTTTGTCTAGATCGCAGCCGCTGCGAGTGTGTGTGTGTGTGTGTGTGTGTGTGCACGATTGTAAGTGTTTGTCTGAGACAGAGTAAGAGAACAAGAGAGAGCGAGTGGGTGATGAGAGATGGCAAAGAGTGACGAGACAGAGAGAGAGACTGAGGCAGAGGTGTTATGGTAGTAGCAGTATATCAAGTCTGCTATCTGGCCTGTGGGCTACACAACTTCCCCAGTCAGCCGCTGCTCTGCCTTCCCCTGAGCACAGAATCCACTACGCACAGCACAGGCACTTTAGTTTCAACTTTCCATTGACCTCTAGCCCCACATCTCTCCAAAAGTGGCTTAAATAAGCCGCAGGGGTGTGCGCTAGACAAACAAACAAACATGCAAAGACGCCCATTATCTATCTGCGGCTGTCTCTGCCTCCCAAGGGAAGCTGAGGAGCCCACATTCTCCTCATTGTTGCATGACATAAGGAAAGACAGCAAGAGGGAGGGAGCAAGAAGGCGAGAGAAAGAAATATAGAGACATTTTTCCCTCACATGCCCTCTCTCCCAGAAACTGCACCACATTCTGCACTTTTCCCCTCTCTGGCTGTCTGACTACAGAGCATCCAGATATCTGGAGGCATCACTAGAGGGAGAAGCCTCTAGGAGGAAGTGACACAGCACAGTTGAACAGAGAATCCCACCGATGTTGCCTATATTATTACCACCCTTGGTGAAAGGCTGGGCTTGAATATGCTCATACTATCCACTAAAGAAAACATATTTTTTTTTATAATTCTCTCTTGATATTGTTTGTCAAAGCCTTTTAAATTTTGAACGAAGCCGGTTTTCCATGTTAAGGGTGTTTTGAGCCCAAAGCACCAACAGAATTAGTGCTACAAAGCCAATTCTTGTTGAGAGTGAGTAGAATATAAATGCATGGACAGCACTGCAAACAGAAAACTGTGGTAAACACATTTGAACACTCTCCGTTTTGGTTTCTCTCTGTGCCACCAGCTCACCTCTCCCTTATCAAAAGAAGAGCACACATTAGCACAATCTCCTCCTCTTCCACCAGTTAACTTTGTCTCATCCGAGCTTCACAGGCTGGATGGGACACAAGACAAAAATTTAGCTTCCCTCTTTTCCTCCATCCAACAGCGCCCCTCCTCTCTTTCTCACATCACACAATATTTCATGCTACCTCCCTCCCTCACTCTCTTCTCGCATTAAATGATACTGTTTATACACACCCAGCATCTATCATCCCATTTCACACTTCCCCCGGCTTGTTTATCTGCCTTGGGTGCTGGGGAGACATGAAGGCACACTCTCTTCTTCTTTCTCTCTCTCATCCCCCTTTGCCTTCCTTCCTTCTCCTCTTCCCTCCAACCACTGCTGGCTGCTTGTGGCCATTGATATACGAGGGCTTATTAAACCCTGGCAGTCTTGTTTGATCTACGCTGGGGGAGTTTGGGTGGTGGCGAGGAAGTGTAGTAAAGATACAAGTCATTTACTCCAGTACTTGTTGTCTTATTCTCATGGGTCTGGTGAAGATCCGGCTCGAGGCAGCTTCTGCTAACTGCTAGATCTCTCCGCACGCTTTACCTTCTGTACCCGTCTGTGTTTGGTAATAAACGTTTGCAAGCACAGCGTTGGGGGTGACAAAAACAAACACTGCTGCGGTATCTGACTTTCCCAAAGAGTGCGGTTAGGGGATTTGTGCAGCAATCAATGACAGCCTGCTTGTAGTCGCCCAACCTCAGATTTTAGTAGGTTTACTTGTACACAAGAAACCACGTTATTGGGAGAAATGAGAAAATCAAGGTGTTTACATGCGCCGCAATAATCTTGTTACTGTAAATCCTGTGGTTATTATATACAGCGGGTCAGTTATTGGATTTCTTTCCTACCCCCTACTGTATTTTTGAACCAAGGATATTTTAAGTGAATTTGTGACACAGTATGATGATACAGCCTGAAGAGTTTTTTTTCCTTCCTGAACGTTTGGACTGACGGTTCAGTGAGAGGACAGGCACTGTCGTAACAAACTGACAGTTTTTTCCTTTCTGTGTGCACGTGTCAGATTTTTTTTTTTTTTTTTTTTACATAAATTCTGCTGTTTAGCTGAAGAAGTCAACTTACCCTCATTTTTTCAGTTTCAGTTTTCGTCAGACTTGGATGCACCGCTACCAGTAATGATCTTTCTTTTGGATCCTTGTTATAGCGCCGCATTCTCTATCTAAACCCTGGTTTGTCCAGCAATGTAGCCTTATGAAATAATTTGTGTTAATCCTTTACTCCAGTTAAGGAAACCAGGTTTTTTTTTTGCATGAAGTTTATGAAATCGGGTTACTGTAGAAATCCGTCAATAACCAGGTTACTGAAGTGAAGGTAAACACACACACTTGACTCAGCCTGTGAGTGAAGCCTGATTAGTACAAGCGATTAAGTTTAAAGGTGGGATGGAGCTACACAGTTGAAGGAGGGGGAGTACACAGAAAGAAACAAATCTTGAGTGCCACTGATCCAGCATGGTGTGTCTGGCAGGTGCAGTGAGAGTGTTGTGCAGCAGTGGGGTTTAAGCATCTCCTTTGAAGTCAAGTGTATCATGGCTGCCCACTACAGCCTCCTTCGCACCTCCCTCCCCTTCTCAGAGCGAAGGAGTGGGAGATTACTGGGTGGGGGTGGGGGGTGGGGGATGGGGGCTTTAGGGACATTTAAAGCAGCATTTCAAGGGAATCAGGCCTGCTTTACAGACTCCCTAGGCCCTGTGACCAGGCCCTCGTCTCCCTCTTAACTCCAGCCGCACTAATCAATCTCCTCTGCTCTCTTCACGGTGGAGAAAGATGGGGCGAGGGAGAGAGACACAGAGAAGCAGAGACTGAGCGAAAGAAAAAGAGCAGAGAGGAGAGAGGGAGAGAGAGAGAGAGAGAGAGAGAGAGAGAAGAGAAGAGAAAGAAATAGGTGAAAAGTCTGGGATTTGGTTTCGGACATGGAGCACTCGCTCTCTCTCCCTCTGTGGTCGCCAAAGGCCCAGCCACTGAATATGCATGTCCCGGGTAGTGGAGGAGCCCAGAGCAATCGCAGACTCTCATTCTTGCTGCTGTGAAGTTTACTCCTGACCATCCAATGGAGAGCTAGGTCTCCATGTTAGTGCTGTTTTTGACGAATGTATAGGACCTCCACACACAAAACCAAGAGTCGAGAGACAAGAAACTTGTATAAGCATTTTGAAGACATCTGCACAGGGCCCTGCTGGCTGCCAGAATGGCAAAGCTGGATCTCTGATGTCATTGTTGACTGATAAGGGAGTTATCAGGACAAGCTGCGATGACTTTTATAGGTGGCTGTGTTAAAGGGTAAATGGTAATAAAAACAACAATTTGAGTTGACGTTGCCATTTTGGTAGGTGATAAATTTAAATAGTCTGTCCAAAAAAAGAAAAGGTGACATGTACAAATATACAGAACAGGCTAGGGTGAAATCAGTTTTAATATAACAAATCCAGGAGGGTGAGTTTACTCAGAAAATGGAAAAAAAAACCTATGCTTATGCTGTTGAGGGAATGGTTGTCTGTCTTTATTCAGTAAATGGAAGTTTTACTTAACGTGTGTGTGTCTCTTACATAATTAGTAGTGCTGTCTGTTGTCCCTTCAGATCGGAGTACAGCCAGGACAAAGCAGAGGTACTCTTGTGGACTGGTCAGGGGCTTGTTGTAGAAACCGTTGTACCTCTTCTCATCACCCAGAATAAAGGTGGTCGGTAGTGAAGCCAACTTAGCAGCAATGTAAGGCTTGGAGGAGTCCAGGTGACGTCTGCGCCTCAGGACAGGGCCTTCACTTGACTTGAGCAGCTTTGGAAAATGTAGAGGGCAAAGGTTAAGGTCAAATTTGGTAACAAAGAATCAAAGTGAGTAGAACAGGTACCTCTGATCTCCTTTCAAAGGAGAAACAAGAGAAAATAAATATTAGTAAAGAGACTCAATTTACTGCATCATATGGTGACATGGAGGTCAATGGCTAAATCTTCATAACAATCACTTTTTAGCAAAAAAATCTTTGTGGATTGTGTGTGGAAAAAAATCCTTACTAATCTATGGCCAAACTTGTGAAAAAATTTAGTATTCACACTATACTGTATGTACAGGTCTGGTTCTTACCATGCCTGCAAATAAGAGATAATGACTCCACATAGCTAAAATACCCTTTGCTCAGTGATATAACTTTGCAAACAATGCAGCCAAGCTACGAAGTGAGCAATTAGCACTTGCTCCAGCACACAATCTCAGCATCACTGCCAGCCTGGTTAATAAATGAGCAAGAGCATACAGCACTGCGGCACTGTGTTTTCAGCAGCATTTTGTTTTCTGTCAGTGATGTCTCGTGCTGCTCCAGATGTAGCTTTATTAAATCATTATGTTGGAGGGAGGAGACAATGGCCTGCTCAGTGTTTAATGACTCATGGAGTCCCATCTCTCTCTCTCTCTTCTGTTATGCCAACATGGAGCTTGAACAATAGCGATCCAAACCAGCGAGCCTCGCAGTTTACTTTAAAATTATGCTATTAATGTTTAGGCATGTCATTTAGCTTAAATTCCCTCATGGACAAGGACGACCTTTATTCAATAGAATAATAACACAGTCATAAATCTTTATCCCCATTTGAATACCTTATGTAAAACTTTGTTGGGAGTTGGTAAACCCTGACTATAAAGAAAAATATGGAGGCAGAGCAGTTATTTGCAACTACTGTTTTGAAAAGTGCTTTATAAATAAAGTTCACTTGTATTACATCTACATTAGAAGTGATACAAGATTAAGTTTATTCTCTGCACAATCAAACTGTTGGATTCAGCAGATGGGTTCTGTCTGCAAACCTGGCTTCCAATCAGGACACTCCCCACCAGCTTCAGTGAGTCATTGTTTAAAATCTCACTGCCCTGCCACCCCCCCCCCCTCCCCGGAGCCCAGGAGGATAGAGCTAATTAGCTGCAACCAGTGACTTCCTACCCAGTTGGAACGCGAGATGTTATCGGTAACCCGTGACCTGGCACATTAGCCAATCAGCCACCGGCTGGCACTCACCTCATCCAGGTCCATCTCGTCTGGATTCTTCCACTGCCGCGGCGACTGGGATACCGGCACCACCACAATGTAGTACCACCTGCCAAGAAAAATAAAGCCTGTGTTAAGACAGACTGACTGAAGCACATACACGCTGAGATCAAAGTGGGCCAAGCACATTAATAACATTCAGAAAGACATACTTTCACTGTGAGGTGTGCTGGGCAGAATTCAAAACTTAAGTGCTAAACAAGTGGGTCCAACCAAGGTCGAACACCAGCAGACTGGCACTGCATTCTCCAATTAATGGCTAATCACTAAGAACATCTGCCATGCAGACTGGAACAAACACTATCCCAGTGAGAGGAGCCTTCAGTTAATAGAAATCCCCATACGATTCCTTAGGTTAATAGGACCAGCTATGTGACTACTTGTGTGTGTGTGTGTACTTTTATTGCCATCATTACATAAGACCAAAAATAGACACAAAAGAAAGACATTAGAAAGACATTTAGGAATTTAGGGTCGAAGTAAGGAGTAAGGTAATGAATGGAGGAGCATGCTTGTGCGTACACAATGTACAAAGATCTGTGTGCGTGTTTATTTATGTGTTGGCTCTCTCTTGCTGTCTCTCTTGTGTTCTCCCCCAGTCTATCTTCTCTCAGCTCAAAGTTTTTCCCCCCACTGCGGCATTCAGCCACTTGTAAAATCAGCTGCTGCTGACAGCGAAAGCAGCTGCTTCTCTCCCCTTTTCTCCAGGCCTCCACTCTGTGATTCAACAGTCAGTCAAGTCTGGGAGTGGGAGAAGACATGTATAACAAGACTCCACACCTCCCCTTTCACCCTCTCACACACACACACACACCCACACACACACACACACCCACACACACACACACACCCACACACACACACACACACACACACACACTCTCCCATCCCCAATCACCTGCGCTCGTTGCCTGTCAATCTGTGCTGGAGCTTGGCCAGCACTGACAGCCCTGTAATCTTTTTACCAATCAACTCTGTGCACTCCCCCTTCTCAGATTTGTGTGTGTGTGTGTGTGTGTGTGTGTGTATCTGATAGCTGGTCTTTACTTGTCAGGGTCAGAAACAATTCTGCTCTTAACAATTTGAGTCAAAAGTTAATACAGCTCAACCCTATGTTAAAAGTCTCGATTATCATCAGCTGCTGTGTCATAAAGTTGATTGAGACTAAAAGTTGCAGCTTTAAGTTTCAAAATAGGTTTAGTATTGATCAGATACAAGTGCTGTTTTTGCTGTTAGAAAGAATGTGGGTGAATTAGTTCTCCAGTGATAAACATAATTTATTCATCATTTATTTACAGTCTTAATTTAATTTGAAGATTTTGCATCTTTGAACTTTCCATAAAGCAAAAGTGTTAATGTACTTTTTTATTAACTGTAAATGATTAATAGCTGGTTGATTGTTGTTCAGCACATTTGCAAAATGTATATTAAAAAGAGTTTTGTCTAACTTAAGCCACCATATTCTTAGTGCCACACTGTGGGTTTTGAGAGATAACAATTTCAATGTTATGTGGCCTGAAGCTACAATATCCCCAAATTAAAAAGTCTACTGGCTAAAAACAGTCATGATCTGCTGGTGGATCTATGCCCTGAATCAGAGCTAGCCTGTGTGGTCAGCCCTGTGTGTCTCAGCACTGACCTGACACGTGTAGTGGTCTGGACCTTAGGCAGGTTGATGGTCATCTTGCCTCCCTGAGGCTGATGTGTGCTGGGCTTAGTCTTGATCAGGTCAGGGGCAGTGCGGATGGACACCTGCTGCTGCAGACCCCCAGCAATGTTGCCCCTGCTTGTCAGCACAAAAGAGTAGTCTGTGTCTGGCTGCAGCTGCGTGATCAGCTTCCTCTTCAGGTTTCCCAGCACTTCCACGCTTTGCTGGTTGTACAAGATCTGTGAGCACACAAGGGAAAACCTGGAGTTATAGTTTAGGGTAGTACACAAACACACACACACACAACATGTACAGAATATCATTCGGACAAATACAATACTATCTCTTTTCACTCAGTCACACACACACACACACACACACACACACACACACACACACACACACACACACACACACACACACACACACCACACACACACACACACACACACACACAGACAAAAGCAGTACAGTCCTAAGGGAGGTGCCCATCTAATCTGACACCTCATCTCATGTATTTCAGTATCACACTTGCCTATTGGTGCATATCCAATAGTTTTTTTTTTTACACTTCAAATTGTCTTTGCCCCATTACCACAGGGTGGGAATTGATATAATATCATTTTGACATATTATTACACCTCATAAATGAGCATGAATTTAGTTCTTCACATTTTTCAGTCCAAATAGGGAAAGTCACTTTATCACACCCTGGTGAAAGTGTTAACAGTTTATAGTGCTGCTATGCTGTGACACAATAAGGCAATAATGCCTTATTGCAATAAGTATTATTCAAGTGATAATAATAAATAAGTGAAAGTGAAATAATAATAATTACTAGTATTACAAAGCATAAGAGTTTATAAAAGCATGGAAAAATGATCCTTAATGATCATTGAGAATGTTTCAGTAGTTGAGTTGATTTCTGACCATCACTGTGTGTATTTTGATGCCAACCTAACCTACCAAGGCCTGCAAGGGAATTTTTTAATTCAAACGCGATTTCTAGATGGCGAGGCTGAAGCAAGTTTCTCTGATATTATGAGATCATTTGAGCCATATAGTTGTGACTGATCTTTAAATAACATGGTTGACAATTTCAACAAAACCATATCATCTGTTCTGAACACTGTTGCTCCATTAACGGTTAAGAATAGGTCAACTGACAGAATCTCCCCATGGTTAAACAGGAACAGTGTTAATGAGATCAAGAGAACCTGTCGAGCAGCTGAAAGAAAATGGAGGAAAACTAGACTCACAACAAAGCAGTACGCCTGGCAAGAAAAGATTACTTTTCCAAGATTATTACAGAGGATGCTAGAAATTCTAGAATATTACTCTCCTCTATTGACCAGCTAGTCAAACCCCCCCACCCCCCGCAGTTCTCTGCATTAAAATGTGAAGAACTAAGATTGTTCTTCAGTAATAAAATTGCTTCAAACAGAGCCAGTAATACTGCTGATGTTAACAAAAATGATCTCAGTAAACCCTATAAAAAAGATATTACCATGGGAAAATTCACCTGTATTACTTTATCTGAGCTTTGCAGGACCGTCACTGAGTGTAACTCCTCTACCTCATGTATTGACCCTGCACCAATGGCATTTTTTAAGCGAGTGTTCAACAGCGTTTTGGGTCATGTACTAAACATGATTAATATATCTCTTCAAAATGGCATCTTTCCAAATGCCTTCAAAACAGCTGTTGTTAAAACCTTACTAAAGAAACCCAACTTAGACAGTAATGTACAAAATGGATGAGCAATAAAGTTAAATGAGGAGAAAACTGAAAACCTCCTCGTCGGCAACAAAACAAAAATAGCAATACTGTTCAATAACCTGGGGAAACTGACTCCCTGGATTAAATCTGAGGTTACAAGTCTTGGCGTTATCTTGGATTCAGATTTAAGATGTAAGTCCCACATCAACAAGGTGACAAAAAAATAATTTTTCCACCTTAGAAACAGCTAATGTACGGCCGTTTAAAGACCAAAAAGATTGCTGAAAGATTGACTCGTTGCCTTCATTTCAAGCCAACTTGATTACTGCAATTCACTTTCTACTGGGCTCCTGAAAAAAAACACTGAGAGACTTCAGCTCATTCAAAACTCTGCATCTAGGCTATTAACCATAACCAAGAGAAGAGAGCACATTAGTTCAGTTTGGCTTCCTGTTACATTTAGAATTGATTTCAAGATGCTCCTCCTTTTATACAAAGGCCTTAATGGGCAAGGACCAAGCTATATTGCTAACTCCCTGATTAACTATGTGCCTCTGAGAACACTGAGGTCATCTATCGCTGCTTTATTGAAGGTTCCCAGCAACAGCCATAGGAAAATTGGGGATGCAGCCTTTGTCAGTTACGGCACAAAGCTATGGAACGCACTACCTATAGATATCAGAGAGGCCAGCTCACTAAGTATTCTTTAAAAGAAAGCCTTGCTTTATTCATTATTTTATCTCATTTTACATTAATGTTTTTAATTTCAAAACAATACTTTTAACAATGTTTTATGTTCATTTTATGTCTTTTCTTTTCATGTAAAGCATTTGGTGCATGTCATTTCTTTGCTGTAAAGCACTTTGTGCTACATTTCTTGTATGGAAGGTGCTATACAAATGAAGTTTATTATCATTGTTATTATTATTATTATTATTATTATTAAGGTAAGGTTTACACACATGCAAATTGTGTTCCGGGTCAAGTTTTTGTTTTAATCTGTACTTTAATATGTGGTTGGGGACTTCCTACCTGGTCGGCACTCACCTTAAAAGGCACTTGGGATTTGTAGTTTGGTGGCAAATCCCAGGTGAGGAGGACAGATGTTTTCATGACAGCTTTGACGCCAAAGTTTAGGGTGGGAAAATCTAAGGTGGGAAATCCTTTGATTAATATCTCAAGAAAGACATCTTGTACAACACAAAATGTTATCACTGTGTGTAATTCAATTTCACACTACAGAAAAGCAGGTAGCCCCTTCAGTAAACAATGTGAACATATTCCACACTGATACCTTATGACCAAACTTGACAAGCCAGGGGGGCGTTCAAAGAACATCAACAATCTCATTCACGCTTGGTTACAGATCACATAAAAATAGCCTTCATTTCCCTAAGCCTGTTCCATTTATTAAACCACGTTCACATCAAGAAATATGCAACAGGCTGAGATCACTGTGATTACCAAGGAATGTATACAGCAGTGGGAGGGGCAACATGTGTTTTAAAATAAGCATCATGCACAAATGGTTATAAATAACAAATCTTACATTTATAAGATTATAAAATGCATGAGGAGGTACATGCTGGGTACGCTTCAGAATCGTGTGAAAGGGGAGGATGAGGAGGCATGGTAATGTGACTGTAGCGTGTAATGAGATTAGTAGTCTATAAATCAATAAACACAGTGCTGTACAGTACTGAGTGGTGGATGAGAAAGATGTGGCACTGATAAAGACAGAATATATAATATATATAATGTTATTAAGTGCTCAAAACATCAGCAGGTGATACAGTGTTCATTTATATGCTCACGTATGTTGTGTGCAAGATTGTGTAGGCCTGAGGGTGTGACCCTGATTTTATGTTTTCAAATCAAATACCTCTGGTATGTTTATATATAAATGTCAGCCATGTGTTCTGGCGATTGTCCTACCATTTGACATGGTCCTGCTCTGAATGCTGGGGCTGAGCGGTCCCCCGCCCTTGCTGGTGTATGCTTGCACCCGGATGTCGTAGGTAGTGTCAGGATTAAGGCCGTGGATAGTCATGTGCGTGTCAGCGGTGCGGTTGGTGCTGTTCTGCTGACTGTTGATGTCCCTGTACACCACCATGTAGTATATGATTTTGCCGTTCCTCTCTGCTAGCAGCGGGGGCTCCCAGGTCAGCTGGGTGCTGGACTGGGTCAGTCCTGTTACTTGCAGGTTGAATGGGAAGCCTGAGGGCACATCTTCTGTGGTGCTGATCTCCTTTTGGTAGGCCTCGCCGATGCCTGCACGATTACGAGCGCTGAGGCGGAAGACATAGGTGGCGCCTTTGTGCAGTCCAGTGACAGTGTAGTGGTCATCAATCTTCCTCAGCTCGCGTGAGGTGTACGTTTCCTCATCAGTGCGCTTGTACTGCAGCTGGTAGCCCATTAGCTCACCCACCATCTCCTTAGGGGGCTGCCACTGGATCAGTGCTGTGTTGCCCATGGTGGTGCTGATCATCATAGTGGGCTTGCCTGGCACTGACAAAAAGAATAAAGTAGAGAGAAAAAGAATAAGTTGTGTTGTAATTCTTTTATATATACAGGATCTATTTTAAACAGCCCGCAAATGTATGAAGATACATTAGAAACGGCCTAATATAACAACTCCACCTGCAGGCAGCTTTCTCATACAACTATAACAGCAGATAGTGATAACTCTTCTAAACGTTGAAACCAACATACATGTAGCAGCCCACTAAAACTAGCATGACAATCCAGTAATGTACAGTCCTCTAATTATAATACTCCTTTGAATGAGTCAGGGTTTTTCCTGCAAAGAGAATTACGAGGCGACCGCCTCCGTCACATTTCGCGCTGCCTCGAGCTCTCAAGAAACTCTGACGGGTTATTTTCTAACAAGCGTTTCACTCGGAGGATTTCTGTCATTTGTAACTGCACTTGTGGCGTTATACAGATGTGGTGGTGCTATATCGTAATTGCAATGGGAAAAAACTGTTTTCCTCCATTTCATGTAACGTTTTCTTTTAATCAGATTGGATGTTCTCTTTTAATGTATGAACAAAACATATGAACTGATCTCCGCAAATAATGTACACTTCATGATTAAGCAAGATAAACATACTTTGTACTCTGGATGAAAGTTGAACTGTCTGCTTAAACGTGTACGTGATAGTCACTGTATAAAAGAGCTAAGTTTGAGATTGGAGGGTGTCCAGACTCTTGATACTGTTGTGGTTGAGAGAGGCTGCACCCTATTTGGCCAAATAGTAATGTGTTGCTCTTTGCCTCTGCTTATGATCATTGTGTTGCTGGTTGTTCATTCTAATTTGACATAGTGTTCGGTAATAAATCTTTGAATCTCGATAGACTCATTGTTGTCTGCTTTCCTCACCTAAGAGCAAAATTGCCTCTACAAACTTGTCGACGAGGATGGGATCAGGCGCGTGATCTGGACTCCGCCGGACAGACAGCCAAGTCCGACTGGACCATCAGCTGAGACCTCCATCCTGCGGAGCCCGGATCGCTGATCTGATCCAACGGACAACCACGTGCGGTGAGGACATTCAGTGATCTAACTTAGGCAAAGGTAGTTTAGGAATCATCTCACAACTAAGAGAAAGTTGTTGACAGACGTGTCATGGTTATAACTGTAGTATTTCCTGGGTTTGTATGCGTCTGGTGATTTAGATTCATTGATGCACACCTTTGGTTATACAAAGAAGACATAACTAGAGATGGGCAGCGGTCAGAGTAAAGGTGAGACAGGTGCAGCCATGGAGAACCTACCATCACCGTGTAAATTCATGAATGAATGGTATCCTGGTAGTTTAAACTAGTTCCAGAAGTGGGTTGAGCTAGGATTTCCCTCTAAAGGCAGTCTTAGTGAAAATCAATTGGAACAGTTAAAGACACAATTGTGAAAGTTGGAGTTTATGAGTGCAGCCCAGCACTCTGCCTTGTCCAAAAGAAAGCAGGAAAAGAATGAGATGTTTTGGGCAGAATGGAAGGCTTTTGGAATGTGGAAAGATGAGGTGAAGAGAAGGGAAAGACAGAGAATTGAAAGGTTCGATACGCCAAAATCTGAAAAACTAATGGAATTCCCTGATTTTAACAATACTCTCTATCCTCCTCTTTCTGAGACTCTGAGGAACCCAACATGCCTGGATCTGGACTCCGCTCCGCCAATTCCTCCTCCCTATTTGCAACCGGCACCAGTGTATTCGCCTGTCACTACCCGCTGCCAAGTCCAGCTGAGACTCAAAGCAAAGGGTACATCTTCCCTTCCAGTCACCCCCATATCCCCTACCATCACTATGCCAATGGTCGAGGTGTCTGGAGTGAAGGGTCCGATTCTGGTGTTCAGACCCTGGTCAGATGCAGAAGTGGCAGAGGCCATGTCACACATCTGCAGCCCCAAAGATAATCTCACTAAGTGGGAGATTGACTTTGTGCAGTTTATCAAAGAATACAGGTCCACCATGTTAGAGTTGCGATGCCTGATGAGCAAATCTCTAGGTAATGATTACCACAAGGTCCAAAGTGTGTTTACACCAGCGAGAATGGCCTGCTGTCTGATGAATCCAGACTTTGAAGGGAAAGAAAATGCTGACTTCATTGACTCTGTACAGACGCTCATTGAAATGGTCCAAGAGAAATTCCCTCAGAGACTGAATCTGTCTGCCATCACCTCCATGACGCAAGGGCCACAAGAGACATGCAGTTTGTTCTTAGCACGTCTAACGTCAGCCTTTGATGTTCACAGTGGCCTTACCAGACCTGACGTCATGGGTATTGAACCGCTCGACCCCTATGAAGTTCATTTGAAAGAACACTTTTTGAGTCGAATGAGGCCAGAGATAGTGCAGATGGTGAGGAAATCTTGTGTCACCTGGAAAACCTGTCCACTTTCGTCCATCCTGCAGCATGCAGAGCATGCGGAGGAACAGCTCCAGAGAAAAGATGATCAAAAGAAACAAAGCAGACAGAAGAAACTGGAGGATGTGCAACTGGCCATGTTCAATGCGTGTAAACCACCCCCGAAACCTTTCCAACACTGACCGAGAGGAGTCAGAGGCAGAGGGAGGGGGAGAGGACGGGAGGGAGACCGACGCAAAGGAGATCCAAGCGCATGTCACTACTGCGGGAGGCGCGGGCACTGGCAGGCGGAATGTCCTGAGAGGCCGAGGCCGACCTTTCCAGGGTCTAATTGAGGAGAGGTGGGGGCTCTGGAGGGGCGGACTCCGGAGACAGGGCACCATTCTTCAGAACCGCAAGTAAACCACCCTACACCCACTCAGTTAAAATTCACTATGTATTTTAATAGTAAAGGTTATGAGAAATTTCCAGAGCTAACCCTTATGGTGGGCTACGTACTCAGTGTTACGAACAGATGCCTTTTTCGCCTATCAGCCAAAAAAAAGTGGAAAGTCATGTGTAACTATAGGGTCTAGTGGTGTCCCTATTTCGGAAAATTGCTCTGTCCCATTGCAATGTGAATTGGATGATCAGATGATAAAACATTCCCTTTTGGTGTCACAAAATTGCCCGGTAAATTTGATGGGACGAGACTTGATGTGCAGTTTTGGTATTATGCTAAGCTCCACTGCGGATGGTATTAAAGTAATAAAAAAGGCTCAGCTTCCATGATATCAGATGGCTAAGTGTGATCCAGGGGTACTTTTATATGCCTATGAGTGGAAGTTAGAAGCGCACAGAGTAGCCAGTGACCTCACTAAATTTGCTCATGCTCATAGCACTGCAGCTGAGTGTTTCATGCATGACCAATCACTACATTGCACGTCTTACGTCAGCATAGGGCCAGACAGGGAATATGAGGATGTGTGGTATGAGGAGCAGACTGAACCAGAAAAGTTGACGTTGAAACATGTGTATTGGACGGGAAAGGCAGCTGCGGTGGCTGTATCTCTTACTCCATCACAGGAAAAGGTTTTTCGAAGCTCAACCCCTCACATTTCATTGGCGAAACCAGCGGATTGGAAATGGCAGGATTTAGGCCCATGGTTGCAAAACTGTCTTAGCCTAATAGACTTTGAGCCGGCTGCGGGGGATCCCAGGATAGAATATAGCACTAGGGGTGAGGTGTATCGATCGAAATTGATAGATGAAGTGTTGGTCCAAAGGTCAGTGGAGATTGTGGAGGAGCAAGTGCGATGTGTAGATCTGTTTACATTGGCAGAAGCAGATCACATCACAGAGTTGTCTGAAGTCCCATCCTCACTATGGGCTTCCCATAAATATGATGTAGGGCTCATGAAGGGAGCTGAGCCCTTGGTGGTGCACCCCAAATCTGAGTATAGGCCGTGTTTAAAACAGTATCCCTTGAAAAAAGAAGCTATCGATGGCATAACACCAGTGTTTCAGTCACTGTTAGAATCAAGCATAATAATACCATGCGACTCTCCTGTTCGCACCCCTATTTTCCCAGTTAAAAAGGTTCGGGAAGAAGGCCGACCTACCGAATGGAGATTCGTACAAGATCTAAAAGCAGTGAATGCTGCGGTCTACCAGCGGGCACCTGAGGTATCTAATCCATATACCATACTGTTGTTGATTCCGCTAGGAACCACACATTTTTCTGTTGTTGATCTGGCCAATGCGTTTTTCTCTGTGCCAGTTCATCCTGATAGCTAGTTCTGGTTCGCCTTCACCTTTCGTAGGCGAGGGTATACATGGACCAGGTGCCCAATGGGATACCATGAAAGTCCAGCCGTGTTCCACAGAGCTCTGAGTGAAAATCTGCAGACTTTACATCTCCCCGGGGGTCTGCCCTTGTGCAGTATGTTGATGATTTACTAATCTGTAGCCCCTCAGAAGAGACTTGTAAAATTGATACAGTAGTGCTACTTAAATATTTGGCAGAGAGTGGGCATAAGGTCAGTCGACAGAAGCTTCAGTTTGCACAGCGTCAGGTGACTTATTTGGGACATGTAATCACAGAGAGGGGTAAATCCCTCTCTCCCAAACGAGTCGCTGCAATACAGAAGCTGCCAAGACCTGTAACAAAGAATGTGATGCTTATGGTCCCTCATGCTGTTTCACACATTTTGCATGCTCAGAAAACATCTCATTTGTCTGCACAGAGGTGGCTTAGGTATCACAACACATTGCTTGAACTGCCCAATGTCGAGGTCAAACGCTGTAATGTCTTGAATCCAGCAACGCTTCTTCCTACAGCGGACGATGGGGAACCACATGATTGCGTGGAGGTACTACAGCAAATATGTACCCCAAGACCCGACTTGAAGGACACGCCCCTCTCTAATGCAGACTTAGACCTGTTTGTTGACGGTTCAGCTTCACGCGCTCCCAACACGGGCGCTTCCCGGGTCGGGTTTGCTGTAGTTACACCATATGAGGCTCTTGTTAGTGGAAGGCTCCCTTCACACTTTTCAGCGCAAGCAGCCAAGTTGGTTGCTCTTATAGAAGCATGTAAGAAGGCGGAAGGAAAAACTGTCAACATATACACTAACTCGCGCTATGCATTTGGTGTAGTGCAT